TTTCAGCCGTGCACATCGACAGTTTTTTTAGTTGGACAATTTACACGTTTGATCGTCCGCCCACGCACTTGTCTTTCAGCGCGCCTTCTGACGGTCCGGCTTTCGCTTTGCTGGTAGCAATCGAACCTTTTCCAGGTAAAATATTTCATGCACCGAGGCATGTCGCATCCCATGTAGCCAGCTCTCCGTCTATAAGTAGATTCGCAATTTTCAACGTGCCCCGATTCTTGAACGACAATCCACGAGTAGCGAATGATCTTGCGCGCACAACGAACAATATAACCTGCTTTCGTTTCGTGCGTATAACTTGCCTCGAATCGTGTTCTTCGATCGATTTACGAGCATTGAATTGATAGCGTCATCGATCGCTGATATCGAAATTGCAAAACTTTTGTTTTCTCGTGAAACGGGAACGGCGTACCTAAATAATTATTTTGAAGATATAATTTGTTCTTGCTGGTTAAGAGATAATTTACGCTTTTTACGTATATACATACATAGATGTTATATATTTTCACCATTTAATAATAATTTTGTAATCGCAGCTATAAATTTACAAATGACAAATGTATTTATTTCGATTTCGTCATTTATAGGATTTTTTTTCTAATTAAAATTTTCGATTTCGTTTCGTTATTTGTTTTAACCAGCAACAAAGAGTTTATACATAGTTTATGCGTATGAAGAATTGAGCGTCGAGCACGGATAATGCAGCAAAGTGCAGCTACGAAGAGCAGATACGAGCGTCCGAATGTAATTCTGAGGTTGGCAGCAGCGAGTTCGTTTGATACCGAAAATTATAATCCTGCGCGCGCGGTTTTACTTAGCGTAGGAGAGCGATCTTCAAGCGCGCGTTAGATTCCTCCACGATTTGAGCGGATAAATCGCGTGACGATCAAAAATCGCGAGTGACTTTCCGTTAAAAACGCGATTCGAACGCGTCGAAGCGTCTCTGCAGTGCGCGCGCGAACGCTATAATAACGTGCGCTCCTCGGGACGCGTAAATTTCGGGGCCGGCTCGAAACCTTCCGATCGCGCGTCGCCGCGTCCTCGAGAAAATGACGCGACGTGTTTTATTCGCGCGAGCCTGAGATACGGCGAACAGAAGTTACAATTGGGTAAGAAAAATCTGCATGCTCTTTGGCGTTTTACGTTAATCGTGGAAAATTCGTCGCCGCGGATGTGCATAAATTTCATGTTGCAAGCGTGCGGCATATTCTGAATTTCGTACGATCGCGTCTCTCGCGCGATGGATCTTTCACAAATGAATTATGCAAACGGAGCGATGATTGAGCGATGCTTCGCGTATGTTTGTGACGGCAATTACCAATCACGATCATTCCTCTGCACCTACCATAATCACTGTTCTATAATTGTATTGTCTATAATTATATTGTCGACGAGAAACGTGAAATAATATAATCGCTATGATTATAGGAATCGCTCATTACATTCGTGATTACGACTCTAATGATGAGACTTTGATACTGAGATTGAATATTGTATGAAAATAAGCGTTCAATATCGGGCAATTATCGTGCTTCCTTCATCTCTTTTCACGAAAATAAAAATAACGCGAAATACATATATATAAATGCGCGCTACTTTTTTTACTTTACATTTATTGTTGCTTAATTATTATTTGTTACAACGCAAGAAAGGAAGGAAAAAATACGGATGCTATCGTACTAAATTTAAAAATAGAAATGAAAAATATTTATTTATATATAAATGTATTAATGTGCAGATACCAACCTGGACGAACCCGAGGAGATCCGGCTGGAGTCGTCGTGGGAGGATTCGAGGGCGGCGAATTGACAAGAGTATGTAGTTGAATATTGTTCATAAAAAGTAAATTTATTTCGTACATGCTTTTGTGAAATTTCTAATTTCTTTCGCATTTTACAGCGCACGAGTTTTTCCCGTTCACGTGACTGGCGATTTTTGGTCACGTTATCAGCACTTCGTCGATGCACAAGTAAGATAAATCGGCCGTAGTTGTGCGAGATAACCATCGATCAATTTTTAGAGATTCTTGATTTTTTATTCGTATATCCATAATTTATGAAAGAAAATTAGTTTCTTCTTGCATAACTACGTCCAATCAATGAGTTATAATATATATATTGCATATATCTTACTTGTTACATCTGCCGTCTAAATATTGCAGTTTCTTTGTATTTTTATTGCAACGAAACAAACATTTTCAATGACTAGAATTATTTTACTTGCTACGCTTTTTATATTTTTAAAGTAATTATTTAATTATAATAAATGTAATTAAAATGCTCTTTTAATAATTTGTAGAATCGTGCATTAATAGCATAAAAAACAATTTAACTAGTGGGGTAAAATTTTTGAAAATAAATTTTCGTGATTTCACGTATAAAATACATGAGCACATGATTAATTTTGGAGAATCATTGCAAGAGAAAAATATCAATAAATTTAAATTAGCGTCATTACAATAATAATAAGTTTATAAAATTCAATAAAAAGAATAAAATATTTTGCAATTAATAATTCAGATGTAATTAGTAAGATACATGCAACATTTGTATATAAATTATCTGTGTAATGAACACACGAAAAACCTTTCCGCTTCAACTTAATTCTAAAAAAATATTGGGGACGTGCAGTATAGATTACATTTGCGATAACAATCGATTTTTTCATAGAAAATCATTTTCAGAATCGTAACCCTCAACTAGTAAAACTATTTTTTAGAAAGTTAATTTAAAAATAATTAAATTTTACGTTACTAAAACGAGTAATATATGTATTGTAAACTTTAATGAATTTTACCAATCTTGTCCCATATTTATTCATAAAAAATGGATTGTCTTTAATCACATATTTAATGGATAAGTAGATGAAAGATTACGAAATATAATTTAGGACTATGCGCGTAGAGGAAATTGTATAAATCAAGCAAAATTCAAAATGTCGAGAATATATTGGTCAAGGGATAACGATTATTATATTATACATTCTGCAAATAGCGTCGGTCGCTTATTACAATCACGCGGTATGCATTGCAACAATTAATTTCAGTCCATAATAACGTATAATTTATGGGACCATGCACCATAAAAGTTTAACGATGAATATTTCTTGTTGGCTTGATATATATACTATTTTTTATGGAACTGTCATATCGTACTACGTATAGGACGAATACCGATCAAAGAAGCGTTTAAACGTCCGCTTAAGAATTGCCTTCCTATTACAGTTTCACAACTAAAGTTTCCTTAACTGATTTTTTTTATATAACATCGAGGTACGTTGGCCATTATGTGATCACACAAAGCATATAATTATTTAATCATCCGAGAATATATTCAATTAAAAGCTAGAGGCTTAAGTCTTTAGGATTATTATAAACGTGTTACACATATATATCGTGTATCTCACTTATTTTATTGAAAAACTATAATACTCGAAATATCTCAAACGTAAGGACTAGAGCATATATTTGGCACGATCAAGAGGTATTTGCAATCGCTTTCTAATATGATGTACTTTCTGCATTGATTAAGTCTGGCCCATTAGAGCACAAAATTCATGGAAAATGGCAACGAAAATTCATTTTCGAAAAAGCTCGGAAAAGTTCAATGATATACAATTTTTATTTCTTTTATTCTTTATTTAATTAATAAAGTATAGACAAACAATAAACTACTCGTATAAAAATAATGACAAAATAAAAGTAATGTTTCACAAATTTATAAAGTAAGAAAAGATAACAATATTGTAAAAAAGAAAACTTACTATTAAATATATAGAAAAATTTCTGAATTAAATGCAATGTTAGTAAAATACCTTTCGGCATATTTACAAAGAATAATAGAAGCAGCTTCAAAGCAGATCGTTTTACAATCTCATTTCAAATATATTTTTTCCATGAAATTTTGTTTCTCCATAATTTCACAATAGGCCAACCTCTCCACATTTAATTGTTACAGGGAGTTTTTCTCCCCAAAGTTGAGACGGATTTAATTATGGCCGTTTGTTTCTATGTACATTCGGTACGGTAAATATCTAAATTTATGGATACACAGTGCAGCTCGTTGTATTGGACACTTGTATCTAAATGTGGCTATTATACGATGAGCATTTGCACCCGAGCATCTGGACAGTATGCGACATCGTATAAAACCCGCTATAAATTACTACTGTCTTCTTTTGGCACGAGTTCGACAATCACACGCGTCACGAACATCGAAAATACAGTAATCCCGAAGCTACTCTTCATTTACATCTGTGTTAAATGTTCCGCAATACCCTTGGCGTTTTCAAAAATCATGGTACTATATAGACTAAATAGTCGTTATTAATCCTAACAGCGCGATACTTAAGTATACGTGCCGAGAAGTATTCTTAATGGCGCTTTTCTTCTTTGCACTATTTGGTGTTTGCTATCTATTTCTCGAATCGGCTGTGCATTTATATTTCTAGTAGATCAACGTTTTCGGTGAGTCTCGCAATGGAGTTTAGGTACTTCAAAGAGATTAGATTCCTCCGTCGACGATAGCTTAATAAAATGCCGCTTACGCTTTGCAAAATAATATTTAGAGATAACTACGAAATTCTTAATTTTTTTTTTTTTAGTTCACTCATATCCAATTCTTGTATATATAATGCACGGCTAACAAAATTATTAATTGTATTTAAAAAGTCGTAAGCAACGTTTCTGAAAGTGCGCCATTCCGTTGAACAAGCTTACAGCGCGAAAGTATAAGATAAATAATTGCTTTCAGTACTCTTCGGTACTCAAAGGATCACAGATTGCATCGAACGACCGGCAAATAAATAATAAACGTACAATACACCGAACAAACAAATAAGGAAATCGGGTGAGGTGGCTGGAGGCGCGAGCGATTTTTCGTTGGGAGAACTTGACGTCTCAGTTACGCGACTCGTAGCCGCAATTCGCGTAGAGGTGGATCCTCTGGTGGTCCCGCAGGTGATGACGGTGCTTGAATCGCTTCTTGCAATTCCCGCACTGAAATCTGGGCCCGACGCCGCACTCGAGGCGCAAATGCCTCGTCAGGTTGCACTTGTGCGAGTAAGTGCGGCCGCATTTCGGGCAAAGAAACGGCGGCCCGTCCTCCGCGTCCTTCAATCGCTTCCAAACTGTAACATTCGTCGGAAAGGATAATAAGATATACACGCAGTCTCTCCCCTCTTTCTGCCCCCCTTGTGCTCTCGCGAACGTATGCAAACTATAGAGAAGCATTATATAGGCGGCTAAAAATGACGCAAACAAAAACACCGAGTGTACGTACAGCGAGTCATGCCGCAAGTCAGGGGGCGATCATCAAACAGATTTCTTTTTTTTTTTTTCTTTTAATAGATTTCATTCCCATTGTTCCTGCACACTTGTTTCTGCGTCGCGGCGTCTCGCAGCTTCTAGTCTCTATAAACTACATGCATTTGCGAAGCGTTCTCCATGAACTTGCCTTTGATATACTTTTGCGTGAGAAACTGCATGGTGCTACGCATTGCATGGCATTTTCACAACAAAAATCTATCTCTGAAATAAATAAATTCGACACGATCTATATGATCGGGGATAGACAAACGATCATTGATGCATCTTGACTTAAGTTATTCTTTATTTGTTATTCTCCAAGTTTATTCATAATATTTCATTATTATTTTAAACTTTCTTTAATCTTGTGTAATATTTATTAGGAAAGAAATTCAATATCTGTTCCTTATATTTTAACATCTGACTTAAATGTAAAAATATGTAAAAATATCTTTATGCGATACATATTTCAAAAATGTCTTTCAATCAAATATTTCGTATCAGTCGCGAGTTTTGTCCATCTCCGATTTAAAATATTATTTCAGATTCAGACATTACTGCTGCATGCATTTAATAATTATCTACGTCTTATTTTTATAATGCGCATAATAATAATAATATTAAAAGAATATTATGACTTAATTAACAGTATCGATTGTACTATTTCAAAAAAGTTTGGCAAAAAAAATCACGCATTAGTTAACTCGAGAAAAAGTTCGAAGATTGACATTTGAACATTCGTAAGTACATATAAGTTGTTGAGTAAAATGCAGCAGGAAGTTTCAGTGTGTAGGGCCATATCTAAATATTAACAAAATTCTATAGATTACAAAATATGCGTGTTTATTTTGACTGCAGTTACATAATGTATACGTATATATACATAAATTTTAAGTCTCTGTGCGCATATATCTGACAAGGAGAACTCGTTACTTACGAAGACGCGATCATCGCATGGTGATTCTCTTCAATGCAAATTAATAGAATATATTTCTGTTGAATTATATATATATATATATACATATATATATTATTTATATATTATATATACATATATATGTATTGTTCAGACTATTCGTTTCGTTGGCACTGCTATTTACTTTCTTAATTTCTAGAAATATAATATAGGCTCATTCTTATCACTAATATCTACTGTTATCCACTATACGTTGAACTCAACGTATAGTGGACAGCATAAATTTTTCTACCTCGCGTTTTCAAATAATTCTTCACTCGTGTACATTTCACACGTTATAGAGCTGCATTGGCTTTTTGCACGTTCGACAATCACAGTTTATATATATATATATATTTCTGATTATAGATAACGACTTTAACTCTTTCAAATAATTGTTTTTATTATTGGCAAATAGACCAGAAATATATATGAGCAATTATATAAGACGCCTCGAAGAGTAACATTCGCGTTTTATTTATACTAATTTAATTAGTAAATTAAATCACGCGACACGTATGCATTTTTCATAGACAATCTTATACACAATGGATTTAATTATTAAATTTATTAGTATCAATATATAATCTATTATAACTATACTAGATTTAACGCTACGTTTAGTGGCAGAAATGCATTTTAAGGTTGAACGTTATACAGTCTGCCGCTGTTGAGACAATAAAACTTGCTTGAACAGAAAATCATTGTGGCAGTGGATCAGTCTATAAACATTAATGCAAAATTTGCTCCAATATTTATACTGTTAACAAATACAAAAAACATAATTAGTTTATTATAATAAAAATTAATTAGTTTATAAAAATCTCATTTAGTGCAAATAATCTATATGGAATATTTAACTTTGTACATATATTATATATTTATATAGAATGTTCCTTAAGTATATTGTCCTACTCAAGGGGGGAATTCTTTGGTTTATTACAAGTAAAAAAGTTCATATAAACATGTGTCCTAAGTGGCTTAGTTTCCGAAATATGGGATATTTTCAAAAATATATTGTTATTACTACAAATATTAATATTATTGCTAGAAATTTAGACAGATGTTACTACACGTTCCTAAGCGGCTTTAGTTTCCGAAATAGAGTGCTTTCAAAAAAATTTTAACGTGTAATAATATCTGTCTAAATTTCTAGCAATAATATTAATATTAATATTTGTAGTAATAATAATGTATTTTTGAAAATATCCTATACTTCGGAAACTAAGCCGCTTAGAACACATATTTATATAAACTTTTTTACTTGAAATAAATCAAAGAATTGCACCTTGAGTATGGCAATGTATCTAAGGAACACTTTGTATATATATGTCTACAAGATTTTTAAAAACTAATGGTAAGATATGAACACATGTTACATACACAAAAATTACTGGTTTTAACAATATCGAGAATCTTATGTTTATGGAATCATTTGTTAATTATATCAATTTGCAATTATAGCAATTTGATTAAGTCTTATAATTATAAAATCGCAGACCTGATTAATTTGAACAGCTAAACGAAAATGGCAACTCTAATCTTTATGGTAACTTCGTTATTATTTTACCAAATGTAGGCTAAATTCAAAAGTTTTTTAAATAAAAATTTCTTATTTCTCGCAACTTGACAGTTGAAATTGAAACTCTAAAATGATATGTTAATGTTCTTCTTAATACGTCAGGTACCTTAATATATATAAATTCATATAATCTTACATATTCTTTGGGAGACTTCGTAATTACATACAAAGTTGTTCAATTAGTTGTTCGTATGATATCACGTTAGACAACTTTGCTGTGTACAAGCCAAAAACATTCTTAAATTGACTTGGATGGTAAAATATTTAAATTGAAAATAATTAATATATACTGTATCTAAATTATATAATTCTTTTCTCAATTAATGAAGAATGGCTCACTTAATTGAGATCTATGAATAAAGCTTAATCCGTGTTATTTTCTCTATCTATCGATACAAATCAGTTAAATATCTGATATATGTATCTGAATTATTTATCAATTAACTTTACATTTGTATATATTTAATATTTTTTGATTATTTTCTGAATACTTATTGTCTATGATTAATCACAAAATGATGTTTACGCGTAAGAGAAACTGGCACAGTACGCCGTAGTACATTTTTTCCAAAAATCCAGAGAAAAATTACCAGAATTATAAATAAAGTAATTATAAGTCTCGAAAATATTCATTTGAGGCACAGTATTCACAAATGTCTTTGTGAGCTATTCAATAAAAAAAAGATCAATCTGAGAGTCCCAAATACCTCGACTCTTTAATGTGACTTGTATAATATATTTTAAATTCAACTTTTATTAATCGGTTGATTGTCTTGACTGAATCTGACAAGCGCATTTTAAATCACGAAACACAGATGATTTTCGTACTGTTTCACAAAGTTTATGGAAACTTTTAGAGCGCGTTCTCCTCACGTAAAAACGATTCAATGGCACTGAGGGTGATCTCAAGATTTCTGATGAGTTCTCATATGTAACAGCAGATTATGCTTGTGCTTGGACTTCTTGTGGCAGATGGGACATTCGAATTGCGGCTCCACGCCGCATTCGAATCTCATGTGCCTGTTGAGCGAGTGCGGTCTCGTGTAGGCATTACCGCAACGTGGACAATAGTAATCGCGATTACCCGCGGTTACCTGGTTGCTGTTGACTTCCGTCAGCGGTTGGCAGCCGTTTTGGACTTTCTCGACGGCGACGTTATCGGGGCAAACGCTCGTTTCACTCTCGACCGCCGCCGTGCTCGCTGTCGTCTCCTTCGTCAATTGATTCTCCGCCATCAGCCGCAGATACATCGTCTGGTACTGATAGTACCATTCGATGGCGTCACCTGGCGAGTACTTCCGTTCTAGAAAACACACAAGAGAGTCAGTAAGGCTTCGCTAGGGTCGTCGCGTCCTTTTGCGTCCATAGGGATTGGCGATCACACTTTTAGCCTAGAAGAAATTATTACGGGATTACGACAAAGACACGGACATACACAGCATGAGTTGAGTTACACGTAGCCATTCACCATAAAAGCGACTGTAAACAAGGCGCCCTTGATGTCTGGGATTTTCACGGGATTGCGGGATCTATTTTGTCGGAAAAGGGAGAAAATTTGTTCTCTTTTTCTTGGAACGAGATTTCGATACATTTAATATATATAGATAAAATTACATTTTTTCGCGTTAAAAATATTATATTTTTAGTCTACTGCATTAAATATGAAAATATTAATGGAAACTATAAAGTTCATTGCGTTGGGCAAACACATATATACAGTTCAAATATAATTAATTTGTTTAGTTCCGACTATAAGATGTTTATAGCAAGATCGATATAACTAAAATTTATCAATATTAGGTACAAAGATATTAGGTGATTAATAAGGAGATAGAAAGTGATTAATTAAAATAATAAATAATAAATAAATTGAATTACTATAAAACTTGGAAGATGTAATAAAAGATTGTCGCTAAAATTATTGTGGGAAGAATATTTCTTGTAAAAGTTATATGCAGTACATTTTTTTATATTCATAACTTTATTTATTTTATTTAATTATTCAGATAAACTTTTAATATAGAATAATTAATAATTAACATATAACAGTACTTTTATGATATATAATATATTAAATGACATAAAGTACAAAATAATTGATTATTTCGCAGTTTTCAAAAATTAAATGAAATCTTTTGCAATTTACATAATAAATTTTAAATTTTACTAATGAATAAGATACAATATCATAAACAACAAATTCGATAAGTAATTCATTTACATATATTTGATTTTCTATTTGATGCAATATAAAAAGACGAGAGATCATTTCACTTGTTCTCATAACGTTCTCATAACGTTAAATTAATCAGTTCTAATATTTTTATTTATCATTGTCTAACTTATAAGCAGAAATTGTTCTCGAGGGAGAATGTCATTCTTTGAAAAATCTATCTCTATCGACATATTGCTGATAAATTTCGATCACAAGTATTTGGAGCGTCGCCACGACCGCGACGAGACGCAGCCACAAAGCTTAAATCAGGTCACGTTCTTTTAATCCGAGAACTCACGAAGGGGCAAAACTTTTCCTTTACGAGGAAACGAATCACCCGCCGTGATGCGCGGTGATGTGATTCCGTAATTCGTATCGATACTTGAACTTTCGGTCGCACGCGTGACAGGAGAACTTTTTCTCCTTGTTGCCGCAGTCCACCCTCTGGTGCCTCTTGAGGCTGTCGAGCCATTTGTATCTCTTGCCGCAATCGGTGCAAACGTAGTGGGTCTGTATCATATTCGGCGCGTAGCTCCCCGAGCTGTACACCCGAACGACCGCGTAATCGCTGCCGGCCCCTAACGCGTCCTGCACCTTCGACGACGAGTACGACTTGCTCGGGAACGGAAGGGGCTCCTGGCTCTCCTGGCCGATGCTGCGTGCCTTGCGCTCCAGCATCCACAGGGCGTCGTACTCCTCCAGTTGATCCACTCCTGCGATAAAAAAAAGCAGAGCGTCGGAGATTAGGTGACGTTCGAATCGTTTAAAACGGAGTCGAAGTTATCGCGTCACGTCGCGGCCATTTTTCAGATCGAGTTTTAAGAACGAATGTACGATACGCATGCAACGAGTATCATGAAGCTCGAGGCTGACAACAGGAGCGCTCCCATGAGACGCGTTAGTTTGTTCCTTGCAACGTAGGGCTCGAAATATTATGGAACGAAGTCCCTGTATTAATTCTCTACGCGTGCATGAAGAAGAATATTCTTAGGAACAGTTATAGGAATCGGTACCTTCGATTTAATCGTTACCGTCGATCTAATCGACAGCATTTCACTTCGAAATCGAATTTCTAGAATTATTAGTTCCTGCTTGAGATCGGAGCACACGGGAAAAGCGGCATTACCACTTGCGACATTTAAAGAATCATCATTTATTTGTTACACAATCATTATTGTCGTGATTATTCCAAAAGAAACTAAATTCTACGGTCTTTCTCTTCATGTGTCCATGTCCGTGATTTTTAGTGTTCTTGTAAAAAGAAAAACTTAACTAATTATGCATAGAAGTAGAATACATAAAATAAAGTACATCCGTTTGTGTAACTTACATTCGTATATATCTTACATTATTTTGATCTTACATTGTGCGACTAACTTATAATCACTGCTTAAACGAAAAGATTTTGTTTGTTGGTAATGTTTAACGTGAGACATATATGTATATATATGTATATATATATAATCTATGTGAAATAAATTAAATTCTATATATAATTCTTATTAATTTTCATCGGCAGTGATTGCCAGAGAGTTGGACAAAATTTATATAAATATTTATATATAAACATTTATATAAATATAATATAAATATAAATATATAAATATTTATATATAAATTCTTCATAAATTTTTTAATAGCGCGTGAACAATAGAAATTTATTTACACGCATTAATTTTTTGGATCTTGTACATGCTTACCTCGTAAGTGTCATTAGACATCTAATAAAATTCATATAGAATCTGAAGCTAAATCTCTCATCGACTGTATACAATAAAACACAGAGCTCTCTCTCTCTCTCTCTCTCTCTCTCTCTCTCTCTCTCTCTCTCTCTCTCTCACTCACACATTATTTTACATTCTTAATGAAGCAAGATGTCAATATCGCGCAATTAATAATCCACTATAATTTAATTACGAGAAAATCAGTCATTGGTGTGCTATGTCAGTGTAACTCTTTTGAAAACGCATTTAAACTAATAAATTAGCTGACAGTTTTTAGCAAGTCAGAGCCCCGTTCACAAAGTCGTATTATTTTATTCCATCACAACTGACACTTTATATACTCTTTCTATTCCCTAAAATTGATCGATATCGCGATCGATATCAGATCTTCTTCTTATAAGCTCGACTTATCTATTTTTGAAGAATTGTTGCTCTCTTTGTCACCGCACACTTGTCGCTGATGCCGGCGCAAAGTGTCTAGCCTTCTGTACGATTTGCCGCACTGATTGCAGTAGTATTCCTGCTGCTGAAGCCTCTCTAGCGTCTCCTGCCGATCCTGGAACGACGCCAGAAACTCGTCGCACTTCTGCTGATGACGTTTCAGGCTGTCGACTCTCGTGTACGCTCTGCCGCATCCGTCGCAACGAAATTGCTGGCAGGACTTTGAATTTTTCTGGACCACGTTTGCCTCCACGCTGTTCAGGATCGGCGAGTCGCAGAGCAGGTAGTTAAGCTGACCGTGAAAGGGCACCTCGCAGACCTCCGGCTCTTCGTCGTTGCTCTTTTCCACCGTGCACTGCCCGTTCTCATCTGTAAAGACACCGTTAGTCTGTTAAAAAGCGAGAATACGTGGCAAGACGTGCAGGGCGACTGGCAAGCGAGCAGCATAAAGCCAGCAGCATGCATAATTTAAATTACCTTCTGCTCTTGATAATTATAAAGTGAAAGATTGTAGAATTACAGAGGAATTAAAAAAAAAGGGGGGAGAAAGAGAGAAAGAGGGAGAAAATGGGAAGTTCACTCGAAAACTACAATTATTAATCACAAGATTTTTTTCTTGGAGGTTTCTTTTGTTAGGAAGATAATAAGAGGTTCGCGATATTTTTCTTCGTTCATACAACTTTGTATAAAAAGTAGGATTTAAAAGGTCAACAAGAAATTTACTTTCTCAAAATTTGCACGTATTTATTGATTAGAAAAATAATGAACATATCATATTGTCATATATCAACGTACACACGATGTGAACTAATTCATTTTTATTGAGAACTACAAAATGTGAGAATTACAAACTACATAAATTTCATTTGTTACATTATCGTTTTGCAAAATCGTCGTGAATATAAATACCACGAATATAGAAAAGATAGATGTAGAAATAAGTTTAATGAAAAAGATGTATATAATCATTTTACTTATCTTTCGTTCATTTGATTAAAGAATAAAACTTAAAACTAATTCTCTTAAAATATATTTAGAACATACAAAATATATCTACTTAGCGATTTATTGAAAAATGCTTCTCTCTTTTTGTCCTCCAGTTTTTAAAAACCAATTGAGCTCCGTATGAAATCGATTTATGCTTCAGTTTATAAGAAGTTAAAAAGGTTTTGAAGATTATGTGAGTAGAAGAAGTACAAGATATAATGTTGTAATCCCTTTCGGGAGCCATAAATATGATTACGTCAGTTTTAAATTCGCGAATATGGAAAAAAGATTGTAAATACATCAAAACACGAAATAAATGAAAGCAAATAAAGAAAAAAAAATATGGCGCAAAAAGAATATTGGAGCTCTTTCTTCTTCAACACAAAGTGAAAATAGAAATTAGCGAATAGAAAGAGATTACAGGCCTGTCCAAAACACTTACAATTAGTACTTTACTTAGGAGCTTTTTCCTCATTATTATCTCGTTCAGAGAGATAATATTATTATTATGTTAAAGAATAGAAGTTGAAATCGTTTATGAATTTTAGTCAATTTCAATCAATTCTCCCGCATAGATCATTACAAGACATGTGTGTTACATCAGTGTAATCATGATCTAGCTATTAGCGCGTTTACTGTTACTTGCGAGAGTAAAAGCCTTTCCGTTGGACAGGCCTGAAAGAATATATCTTCTAGAATATATTTTATATTAAATTTTTCTACTTTATTTTGCTATAAATCAAATTCGTATGCTATCCCCAATCCTAAGAAGTGCAAAAGATATCTCAATAAGGCTCACGCTTCCGTTCTCTTCACTTCTGTCCCATAAAGGATAAATTAGCGTACACTAATTCCAATCTAAGTTCTAACATTCGGTGTTATATTTGCAAGTCTCCCTGAGAAAGTCTTACGCACTTTCGCGAAATAATAAAAACTTGAATAAATCTACGACAGATCGTTCATATATGTATATAAACACGATTCTGCACATTGGTTCTGTCTCTAATTAAATAAGGCGCACGTGCACTCTTTATGTAATTGCGCGAAGACAATGATTTCTTTTCGATTTTCTGCCGCGTGCAGGTGGTACAGGTGGTCAGCACGTGGGCTTGGTCTTCTTTTTACAATACAGCTTTTCGTGTCGTTTGAGACTGTCGATCCTCGAGAATTTTTTTCCGCATTCCTGGCAGACGAGCGTGGCAACCTTCATCTGCTTTTTCCTACGTTCCAAATACTCCGGAGATAGTTGGCTGTAATCGGTAGCCACGAATTCGAAGCAGCCCTCATCGAACTCCTGCTTTACGAACGGTTCAAGTAACCAATTGGACAGTTCATCGCCGCTATCTATAAAAAAAAGAAAAAAAAGAAACATTCGTTAAGTTTAGTAAGACGTCTGTGGACTGTCTAAAAATTCGCGAAAGAGAGAGAGAGAGAGAGAGAGAGAGAGAGAGAAATTATGAGGAAAAAGAGTCTTATATAAGCGCATGCATTTGAAAAAAGTGAGCGTGTGAGTACGCTGTTATCGATGAATTGAAAAAGTACAGCTCCACGAATGCGTGGTAGAACTTCGAGTGAATAAATAATTATTAAATGTAATGTCACAATGTACAATGTTATGTACATTTATGAGACAAAAAAACAGGAAAATGATAGGAACGCAACATAATGTTCAATCATTATTTCTTCAAATAATATTATTTTATTGATATATAGATTCGCGAAGAGGCAAATTACATATTAAATAAATATCCGCTTTATAATATTTTATTTGTTTATAATTGCTGACATTGTATGATACGTATGATACGTTTTGTAATAATATAAATACAATCTGATAATATTTATGAAATGGATTAAGAGAGAAAATTAGTAAAGTGAACTAATAACAGCATCTTTATCAGAACGTATTTTATACTCAAAACATAACGTTTTTCTTCATTTCAATATAACAAGATGCATATACATGTTGTTTCGTTATATAATACGGGTCATTAGTATGATAAAAGGTACATCAAATTCTAGAATAATTGAAGAAAAAAAAAGAAAAAAATGAGAGAAATTTAAGATCTGTTTTTATTCGATAAAAAGTATTTGTCCCGAAAGGATTGATTATTAATTCGACAATACTTTGAGTTCATATCGATTGATTAATTCGTAACCTATCCGTTATTAATGTTGCATGATACAACATCATGTCATTATCTAATGAAAGCCAAGTATGAAACTTGGCTTAATGAAAATTTTAATTGAAAGAAAATAAAGTCCAAATCAAGATCGTATTCGTCGCCTTGCACGTCTAAATATAATTATAACATAAATATTATGTATATTATATACAAATTATATAATATACAAATTGCATTATATATAATTATAAAATAATCATGGTGGGCAAGACGAAAAATCTAACACTATTCAACGAAAGAACGAGCGAAAATTTTTCTCCATTCCGCAGGAAAATTAATCACGCTTTCTGATGTTTCGAGTTTATATGCTTGGTTAATTCGTATCGACGGTAGAACATTTTCATGCAGATTTCGCAATGCCATTTAGGCAGCTTGCCGCACTCCAGTCTTTGATGCCGGCGTAGGTTGTCCATCCATGTATATCCTTTGCCGCACTCGCCGCACATGTATTGCGGCCGCACCACTTGGACAGGATTTATGAAATTTCGGGATACAGAGACGGAGGGATTTAGATGGCTAGCGTTAATTTCGTTATACTCGTTCATCAGGACACCGTCTGCAATACGGAAAAGACTTTGTTATTCTCGCGAAATTGATGGCGATAATATCAATACAACTGAAATGACAGTAATTATTTAGATCAATAGATAAGAGATTCGGTAAACGATCAAATTAACACTCAACCGAATACATTGGAATGAGTACTAATTTTTGCATTATAGATTTAATCTTATGATAATCGTATAATAATTTATTTTTCTCATGGCGAAAACCACTTGTTAAGTCATGTATCCTTATAATTACTGAATTTCATATTAAAGTTTTACTAATAATTGTCACTTCTAAGGACAAAAATTAAAGGTTCTTTATATTATTACATTTATATTATTACAGTTTGATCAGCTGGATTGTATATTATATAATCTTCATTTGTTAATTGAGGCATGTTAAATCAAATGAAATTGAGAAGAAGATATTACGTTGTGTAACACACAGTGAAAGTCCACACGATATATATTTACATAATTACACATTTGGAAATATAATAATTTCTTTTTTTTTTATTAAAATCGTAAACATTAGGGAAACGTACAATATTCCATTTCGTTTTGACAAGATCCGCAATAGAATCGATGACGAAAAGAACGTAAACTGCTTAATAACTTGTATTCATTATCGCATTATTGCACTGTTTCTCGTTTGAAGGGTCATCCGTATCTTTGAGATCATAGGAAAATATGCTTCCTACCTTTCTTTCTGTTTATTGTTATAAAATTGATGCGTGTGGAAAAATTGAAAATCGTCAGATTGTTTCATGAAGTTGATGACCATAAACATGGTGCTTTCAAAAGAAAGAAAAAAGATGAGAAAAGATGAGATGTAGATTTAAAATTTGAATTTAAAAAATGTTTGTTGAGTCACTTTACAACGAGTGAGCAATAATTTAATTTAATGGAGTATTGCAACATAGCAATGAGAAACAGTTATATATCCAAAACCGATTAAACCGATGTGGAAATAAAAAATATATAAATTCATTAAGCGTTTGAATATGTTGTTAAAAAATATCGTAGTACACAATAAGTGAATTAGAATTAATCATAAAAATTATATTTGTTATATTAAAAATTATGTAAAGAATATTTATATAAGAGGACATATTTCAATTTTAAATGGTAACAATATATTACTTATATATTTTCAAAAAGATGTAAGGCGTTGAAAATTGTAAGATAAGAGGTATTTCGGTCAATTAAAAATCAACCCTGTTTTAGGAACAAAGTTTGATTGAATTTTATATTTCAATAATCGTTTATTTATTATTAATACTTATCAATACTTATCAATACTTATCAATATTTATTATCATACAATTAATTAAAACAAAAAAAAATTATCTTCTTTCATATTTAGAAGGTACGAAAAACATAAAACATAAAGCATAAAATTTCTGAATGTGGACTGTGTTGTGGACTGTGTCTTCCATTATCAGAATAAAGCTAAAAAAAAAATAAATTAAATTGAATGCAAATCAGAACGCGGGACAAAACAGATGCGAAATGATTGTGCAATTTAAAAGATGCGTGATTATTGTTATTTCGTTAGTAGCTTTTCGATTAAAATTTTCATGTTAATCACGCAAGATCGTTATATTCGCGAATCATGAGAATCGCAGTTATGATAAATTAAAACATGAATGAGCTCGTGTTTTAACAGTTTTATATTCTCAATATGTGTACGGTACATACAGATTTACGCATCGAGTAATTACAGGACTTTATTCTATGATAAAAAATAGGAAGTATATATTTGCAGCATTCGTTCGTTCGCGGATAAAAAGCATGGACGATATCGTTTGTGTCAAAATAACAATATGCGTTTGGCTTGGATTAACAGATGACTATGTATTATACATGACTATTTTGTATGACTGAACTGCACAAATAGTAAAAGATTAAATACATTAATGGCTGTGATGCCTTCATCATAAATATGTATCGAAATACGTATGCAGACGTACGTATTAACAAACATGTTTTTCGCAAAACGATCATTTATCCATCTTGTAAAATTGCGCGTATATAAATTCGTATATCCACTTTTAATTATAATATCTAACTAACCGAGTGATAAAAATGTTTCTTATTTGGAATGGAGGAAAAAATATGTTTATGTGCAGAGAGAAAGAGAGAGATGTAAAAATACCGAAGCGTTTGTGAGAAAAGAGAATACCTATTCTCTTTATCATTTTCAGCAATTCCGATTCGGCTTTTGGAATCTAAAAAAAAAAAAATAATCTTATAAAATTATTCTTTTACTCGCCTAAATTAAACATTTGCATGTCGAATATCTTGGGATATACGTTCATCTTACATTATTTACGCAAGTAAGTATCTATTTTACACGAAATTGTTTGCATTTTTAGTTACACACATTCTGAAAGTACGTCACGTCGATCAAAAATATTTCAACCGGTTCCATGAGTTGTTCTGTACAATTTGTTGATCATGATCTTCGCTTGTGATCCATCGCTTTCTTCGTCACTGATTAACGCGCGGCCCCTAATCGTAATCCTTCTTCTGTATCGTCTGATTCATTCTTCTCTCGCAGCCGACGATGTGGGCGTTTAGGACGAATCTGTGCTTGAATCTGCGACCGCAGATGGGGCATACCTCGCAAGGCACGACGCCGCACTCAAGTCGCTTGTGTCGGCTCAAGGACGTCGTGGCCTTGTACGTTTTCCCGCACCTGTTGCACTCGTACTTGGCGTCGCCCGTGCTCTTCTTTCGGATGCCCCTCGACATCTTGTACGGCGATCCGCTCGCGCCGCTCGCGCGTTGACTCCACTCGCTGTCGTCTTGCGACATCAGCATCTGCGCCAGTAGACCTGCAACGAGAGGACAATGTGGTTAGACAATTCGTATGCGATTTGTTTGACGCTATGTCGTAATCGCAATGCTCCCCCAAACCGGAAATAGAGATCGAACGAAATGGCTTTGACTAAAAAATATGGACAGAACGATCTAATTACGATTTCTTTCATCTTCAATGGATTTCAATTAAAGATACAAAGATAATAAGATTGTGCATAGTCTCGGTCATCAACTTCTCTCTGTAGCCTAATTAAAAATGATTTTAAAAAATCACATAATCTAAGGTGAGAATACAATTTGCGGAGAGTATCCTACACATAGAGTAATATACACATAATTACGGAAACTTCTGTTTGTTTAAAAAAGGCAAAATTGGCAAATGATAGGAAAAATTAGAGTAAAACTATCCCTTAAAATCGGAAAAATGGAATAAAATATATTAAAAATTAAAAATTATGTACTATTGTCGGCAATTAATTGATTAATTATGAGCGTTTAATGAATGATTAATGCATCAGGAACCTTTTTATAACTTCATCCATAGCCAGTGTCTGGTAAGCATTGCAGTGATTAAGTTCGTGCAGTTAGGACTTCCACTTCCGACCGGAAAATCAAAAAAGTTGTTTGATCAAAGTAGTTGCTAAAATTTGATTTGCATAAGCTGTAAAGAAATGTCATTAATGAAAGTGCGATGATGCAGAAGAGATAAATTATGAAAAGAGCGGAAAAATAAATGAGGTGAAGAGGTAAAAAAAAAAGAGTAAGGCATGCTGTTGCGGATTTTTATGTAAAGTAGAAAACATCATTTGTTATTAAAATTTTTAGATATCATTTAAAAATGGGTGTTAAGGACAGAAATAATTAAATAAACGAATTAATATACAAGATTTTATTATCGACAGGTCTTTAATTTATTAATACGAATACATATAGCTTGGTATTATAAATTCTGTTTTTATTTTCATACAACAAGAAATAAAAATGTCAGCATTTCTTTCTTCGACAGTTTATTGCATTATTAAAAATCACTGTGCGTATATCACTAATACGTTTATGTAAAGATGTTGTGTGACAGTGAAACTACAAACACTTTTTCTCTCTTGAAGTTCTAAACATTCCAAATTATTATGTACATTCATATAATTCGTACACAATTTAAGAAAAGACTCTAAACACAGTAAATATTTCTTATTTCATTTTCTTGGTATCTTAACAAATAAATCTAGTAAACTTTATCTGATACATATGTGTCAAAAATAAATAAAACTTCTAAAATTCCGAAATAATTAAAAAAAATCGATATCAATTTATTGTACATAACAAACAAGACTTATTCTACAAACCTGTTCTTAGATAAAATAAGATGTTCGAATGAATCAGACATATTTTGCATCGTAATACAATAACGGTAGCACAAATCATAATTGTTTTCTAATCTAATAATAAAAAATGACACTCTTTGACAATACAAATAAAAAGTCTTTACACAAATTACAAGCTTACGACACTTTCAGAAATATGTAACTGTGTGATATTTACCAGATACATCATACTTTATCGACATTGACATTGCATAGCGAGAACAAACTGTTATTATTGCGATCTTCTTGTTAGTAATATGATTTCGAAAAAAAATTCAGATTATAAGGAAACACTAGTTCTAAAACAAATCTTTTTGTGCGTGTCAAAATTGTACTGAGCGCTAATAACAATTGATTAACAACAATTTCCATAATAACGTGATTGTAACTTAGAAAGAAAAATAAATAAGTAACTTGGAATTAATTAACGTAGTTTGCCAATACAATCCCATTTGGACAAACGTTAAATATCTTTTATAAACATAGAAATAAAAAAACATTCTCTTTGAACCATAACGTATCGTCCAATCGAGAGATTAGACGCGTCTAAGCATTTTTTTGGCGACAGTAAAGTACTGCTTCTTTTTCTGACAGGAGCCTATATGATGAGTTAGCATGAATTTATACGTGAATTTCTTGCCACATAGCAGGCATTCGTGCTTGGGCTCGACGCCGCACTCCAATCTCTGATGTCTTCGCAAGGACGTTTCCAATTGATAACTCCTGGTGCATCTCGTGCACTTGTAAATCACTGGCTTCTTTGCGTACTTCAGCTTCTCTATATTCTTCACGATCAGTTTCGGGACTGAAAAGTAAAACAGAAAAGCGAAGGAGATTAAATCATCAAGTAATTAAAAATTAGGAGCATTGTGGTTATTTTATGGCTAACTGGCTGCCCCACTGAGATAAGACAAGTGAAAAAGAGTTTAAACCTTTTAACTCCACTGCAGAAGGCAGGCCCTTTATTAAGGAGTATTTAAGTTTATTAGTTTGAAATATTGCTAAAAAAAAAAAGATATGACAAATACCTATATTATAATTTTATATTTTATTCGCCTGTGACGATTGTGGTGCGAGGAGCAGCGCGATAGCTTTATATGCTAAAGATTCACCCAGAATATAACTCCAAGATCGATTTAAATCGATTCGAAAGCGATCGCCGCCTCTCGGAAGGCTACGACAAACCACCGAGAGTATCTTTGCCAAAGAGAACCTCTTCTTAAAAATTGCTGCCGCTCGGAATCGACGTTAAACTGTAGGTCCCGATTTTTCTATTCAATAGAAAATTTAACTAACATCAAATCTGAGTTTTTTTAATTCAGAGTGGCAGCACTCACTCAGAATTGAAGAACTCAGATTTGATAGTTAAATTTTTAATTTTTATGTTTTGAGTGATCTCCAATTTCTCATCGGTTGACTTTGTCATAGCGAGATAATAATCTTCTAAATCAGCTCCGTTTTCTCTTTTTATTTTTAAACTTTTTTTCCTTGATCTTTCCGATTTTTCTATTGAATCTTTCGGAGTTATACCTAGTGTTGTGTCATTTAATAATTTAGATTTATATTTTTGGCTTATTTTTGTTGTTATATGCGGAGAATTGTGTGATGATCGTGGCGCGAGGAGCAGCGCGACAGCTTTATATGCTTTATATCTGCAGTGTAAAAGTGTAAATAGCGCACATAGCAGAAATACGAGGAGAAGTCACCATGCTCTGACAAGAGCAGTAGTACTGAGAGAGATATTATAATTTTAATTTATTTAAATTCCGACATAATAATACATAATAATTTATATCCATGTATGAATGCATTGCATTGGTAACAAAATATAACTTGCCTGATTTTACATGGATAAAATATCATCTATGTCTTTTGTAAACTGATTAGATTTTGTAAACTGCTTATGTAAATGCTATAATTTAGATGACTTTTTTACTTTTCAATGTATACATGTACCTATACATAATCAGGTTAGTCAGAAAGTTTTTTCGTATTTTCATGTATTCGAGTCATCCTATACTTGACGAAAATACGAAACACTTTCTAATCAACAAAATTATATAATTGATTGTGTACATTTATAATTTATATATATGTCAAATGTATTTTATATATAATAAAATTTTGTTTACTGCGTCTTGCGGGAGAAGAACGTAATTATCGATCAAACAAATTTCTTAATTATACGGAATTTATTTCGTTCTGTTATAGATACAACATAATCAAGTATATAGTAAAGTAAAGGAAAACGCACAAATGTTTATTTCTTCATAAAAATAAAAATAAAATACTCTCTTCATAATAAAGTTTGAAAATGCACTCGAAATCTTTACTTAGCGACAAGCTGTTAGAGTTTAGACGATTCTGACGATTTCGTGTTCGCTTTTCATGTGTCTTTGCAAGTGAGATTCCTGTCTGAAGACTTTATCGCATAAAACACACAGGCAAACTGGCGTCCATTTATTATGCATTCTCTGCTTAATATATGAGCGTTATTGTAGCAACATTTTCCGCAATTCAGGCATATGTACCCAATCCACTCACTCGTCATACCAGATTTGAAGTTCAATTGCCTGTCTATCTCCTGAAAGTGATAGAGATTTCTGGTTAGTAAGACTTCCCAAATACACACACACGCAATACGCGCGATGAATACAGAAAAATAGAGAATTTAGTACAATTATCAATTATTAATGAATGCATCATTTGTGAATGAAGGATATCGTAAACAGGATAAATGTTGAAACATAATTTCAGGCATTTACGTTCTCAAAATGCATTCTCTTTATTGCTGAAATGTATTATAATTAAAGCTCATTTTAGACAATGTTTAATAGACGTTAGACCTCAGGATACAATTCTATTTGTAATTTGTAATATGTGCCGTGCATTTTTATACATGTGTGTATTTTAATATTTATTTTATACGTATATGCGTATATTCTTCGAATGTTTTTCGTAGTACACGGCAAATAAAATTATAAACAGAACTCTATTCTGAATTCTGATGTGAATTATAGATTGTCTAAAATGTCTTAATAAAGAAAAACATGGATATAAAAATTGATCTAATGTTATGACACATCTAATGTTATTTACGTATGCGAATAGTTACTAAACGGATATGTTAGCTGAGTATCACAGAAATCAACAATAGGATATTTATATAAAGGAAGAAAATCTCTGCACACACGAAATATCTTTGAAACATTTTATTTACATCGCTTTGACGCCGCTCAAGCGCATTTCCGCCTTTTATAATCTCAATTATATAAACTGTCTCAGAAAGCAAACATGAACATTCTTTGCAATTATATTTTCGACAATATTGCGATTTTATATTACGTATTCTTAGACCGGCATTGACAAAGGAATTTATCCTGATCTAAAGTAACGAAAGGAAAATTAATAACGAGGAAATCAGTATAGGAACGGTTGTATAAAAGAAACGAAAAAGCGCTATTCATTTATTAACTACAATGTTATCAAATAAAAAGAACATGTACTTAATATTCAATTATCGAATAGTATTTTAATTATTTTGAAGATTAATTAAACTGAAAAGTTTCAATTAAAAAATATTGAATTCATGTCACTAAGCAATATCACTAACTGTGATAATTTACGAAATTTAAATTGAAGATTATTGTAATTTTCAATATTCGCATATTAGGATTTTTTTATTCCAGAATAAACTATTATAAAAAAAAGTTTAGAAAAATTACAAACAGAAAAAAAAAGATCGGGTGATTTTGTGACTGTTTTAAAGAATGCAATTAGAGAAGATCAGGAACATCATGATCAGGATCATCCTTTTTTGGCATGTATTACTTCACAATTCGTCGATCAGTTCGTAGCTCGGTCATATGTTAATATAATGAATCAGTCTGGCGTGCGACTGCCATCGGTGTTTGTGTTTGAATTTCCTTCCGCATATCGGGCACTCGAAAGTGGGATCTTTCCCGCATTCGATCCGCTGGTGTTTCTTCAATGAGTCCCGCCACATATACCGTTTGCCGCATTGGAAGCAAGGCCAGGATTTCAGGGAAAACGCTGAAAAAAAAGACAATAATCGATAAGCAGTTCCCTCGACTCGGGTTTCTCGACCGTAACATTGAAAGCGCGCGATTTAATGCGTCTTGATGTTGGAGGGCTAATATTAAATAATTTTGATACATAATCGCTGTCTTTACACATTTCTTTCGGACAAATTGTTGAGAATTGGATTCTTTCTTGTCTAAATATGTGATACATGATCCAGTACTTTGGGATATTGCCTGTATCGAGCATCGCATATAATAAAAATGATTGCTCGTGTGTAAGAAAAAAATAGTCTACAGAGCATAATTGCTATATTACTATTTTAATTATCGCATCTATTAAAAATTTCGAAACAAATACGTTTAAAAAAATGAAGAAACCAAATTTTATTATACTATATTACAAATAACATGAATATACAAAATATGGAAGTTATGATATTTCTCCATTATTTTTCATTTATAACCGATTACAATTAATAACTTATAAAATGTTCAAATGTTTAAATTCATATCACTAAGTAATATCATTAGTCAACTTTTGATAATTTACGAAATTTTTAATTTAAGTCGAGGATTATTGTGATTTTAAATATTCGCATATTAAGATTTTTTAAATTATTCTCCAGAATAAGCTATTGTAAAAAAAAATTTGTAAAAAGTAAACAGAAAGGAAAGATCGGGTAATTTTCGCGTGTGACTGTTTTAAAGAATGCAATCAAAGGAGATCAGGAACATCATCTTTTTTTGGCGCGTATCACTTCACAATTCATCGATCAATTCGTAGCTCGGTCATATGTTAATAAAATGAATCAGCCTGGCGTGCGACTGCCACCGGTGTTTGTGCTTGAATTTCCTTCCGCAGATCGGGCATTCGTAAGTGGGATCTTTCCCGCATTCGACTCGCTGGTGTTTGTTCAATGAGTCCCGCCACATATACCGTTTGCCGCATTGGAAGCAAGGCCAGGATTTCAGGGAAGACGCTGAAAAAAAAAGACGATGATCGATAAGCTGTTCCCTCGACTAGGTGTTGTTTCTCGATCGCAACATCGAAAACGCCCGATTCAATGCGTCTTGGTGTTGGAGAACTAATCTTAAATCATTTTGGTACATAATCGTCATCTTTACACATTGTTTTCGGATAAATTGTTGAGAATTGGGTTTTTTTCTAACATGTGATACATGCACATCCAGGTACTTTGAGATATTAGATATCCTGTATCGAGTATCGCATATAATTAAAAAATATTGCTCGTGTGTAAGAAAGAATTGCATTTTAATTACCTTATCTATTAAAAATTTCGAGCGAAATACATTTAAGAAAATGAAGAAATTTTATTTTAATATATTACAAATAACATGAATATTAATCACAAGAAGAAATTGCGATCTTCAGCCAAACAAAAATAATATTATTCGTACCTAATAACAAAAAATATTCTAATATGCATCACAAAATCACATAAAAGTTATTTACCGCTCAACTGAAATATGTAAGCTTAGGAACTCATAGGAGATCAACGCGTTACAACGTTAAAGTAAAAATCAAAAAATTTATCAAATAACTTCATAAATGTACTTCCAATATGTACGTAACCCTTAATTCAATATTAATTGCATTATAATATTTATTGCATTAGGTTGTGAAAAATTTATAGACTTTTCAATAGAAAATGCAATTAAAATTGCTTTTTCTTTTGATTATTATGTGAATAGCTATATGAAGGTTTGTACATTTCCCTGCCGTTTTGTTGAAAAATATTCCACGACAGAGATAAAACTTTAAATCACATCGAAGTACATATATGTACATGCGAAATAATTTGTCGCGCCCGATTTATATATTATCACTTCAATAGGTGCGCATATCATTTATTGAAGAGCATGACTTTAAGACAGATCCATGTTAAATTTACGTCGCATATTACATTAAATCCATTGTTAAATTTACGTCGCATGTTACATTAAATCCATGTTAAATTTACGTCGCATGTTTCTCCGTCGACCTACTTTAATCTTTTCTTAACTGATATACTTTAGTAGGCAAAATTTCGCTAAAAAAAGTTAGAGTGATACACCAACAAATGTTCCTTGAGCCGATCCCGCCTGTAGAACTTCTTTTCGCAGAAATTGCAATTAATTTTCGGTTCCTTGCCACCGCACTGCAATTGATGACGACGTAAACTGCCTAATCGCAAGTAGTTTTTGCTGCATAAGTAGCACGTATAAATCTGACGTTCGTTCGGGTCGTCCGTCCTCTTCGGTCCTGCACATAAAACTGATGTGAGCGGCAAAATTGTAAATCGGCAGATCGTACTCGTTTCGCGAAACTGCCGATTATGTACATGGTGTTCTCGGATGAAAGAAAGGAAACGCAGACTTGAATTTAGATTAAAAATAACAAACTTTGCATTTGTAAAACCGGCAGTATTCACTGTATATAAATTAAGTTATATTGGAGCTTAACTTTAAGTTAATTCGTTCACTGAGGGCATCGACATCGAAAAAAGAATCCCGATCAAAATCGAAATTGGTGTCGAGAAGTTTGTTGCATGCACAGGAAGACGAATTGACGAAAATTCATTGGAAGTAGGTAAAAGTAATGAGAGATTATCACACTTTATTGCAAGTATATTCCTACCTCGCACTGGCTTTAAATTGAATTTAAAGTCTGTTTACAAACGGAGCCAATATGATGCTGAAACTGAATTAATTTCATCCATTCATTCTGTACTGAAGGATCTTACAACAAAAATCATTATGAAATATTCTTTATTTGGAACCTCAGGAATCATGTGCGTTAGGAGATTAACAAACCACATACAAGTTTGAAAAAAAAAACAAAATACTTTATCGAACGATTCTGTAAATCCAAATACTGATCTATACGTAAGACTAAATGCTAGATCTATATATTAATTTAACGGCAAAATCTTTTTTATTGGCGTAGGCATTGTAAAACGTTCGCTAATCTCGTTATTAGAAAATAGATTCATTTAGAGCCTGCCTCTTTCTTAATCACTAGTCATATACGAAGTTAACAAAGTCTGCCGACACATCTCTCCCGTATCCTTGACTTGAAAAATATCGCACGGTGCTTTCTCGCAGACGCTTGTCTCCAAATTAAATCCAGGTATGTACACGCGAATGATTACATCGTTAAGAGAAGACGATGCAGCCCTTGCAAAGTGTCTCTCGCGTTACAATTTAATACTATGCATGCACTTCGCGTGCGACTGCCAGCGATGCTTGTGCTTGAACTTCCTGCCGCAGACGGGACACTTGAAGGCCGGCTCTTTGCCGCATTCCACCCGTATATGATTCTTTAGGGAGCCGCGCCACAGGTAACGCTTACCACACTGGAAGCAGATCCACGCCTTCCGCAAATAGGCTGAAAAAGAAGAGAAATCGTCACAGTATGTAGTGCCGAAGGTCAAACGATGTCTTTGTTTGTTTTTTTTTGCGCTACCAAGTCATCCCTCCCTTCCCCTCGCGAAAACGTCGCGTATGCCCTGCGTACCAGCACAATCGCGTAAATTACGATCGTAATAACATCTACCATGATTCGAATCCTCTATGAATGAAAGCGCATTAAGCCGAGAAAGTTGCACATGTATCATGAACGTTCGTTTCATTGATCTTCCACTAAAGCTCTTACTGCTGCAACTCATATTTAATCCGTCTGTTGCATTCCGTAATTCCAAAATTCATATTAAAGCGCTACGAGGAAAAGGAGATTTTAAGATTATTCTCTTCACGTGCAAATTAATTTTGCACGTTTCTAACTTCTTGTGTAAGAAAGGAGGGGGGAGGAGATATACATGTGCTCTTCGAAGCAACACGCATTTTCATTGTATTGTCGAGAAAATAGAAAGGAAGATAGTTGTTGGGTCTCATTTTTATTTTATAATATAATATGACGATCGATCTGCGCTAGAAATGTTTTTTTAATAATTCGCGATATAAGCCCCTAAGCATGGGATTTAGAAGATAACATTTGCTAGGGAAATAAAACTGAATTTTTATTAATATTAAACATTTTACTTTGCTACACACACATTTGCGTTCACAATGCGATATAAATGACGATATATAAAGGACACTCCTGAATCAATCAAATTGTCATCAGCGCTGATGCAATTAAATTGTCATCATTTTCGTAAAGCGTGCACATTCGACATAAGATGCGACTGCAGTCTGTGTTTGTACTTGAATCTCCTGCCACAAAGAACACAGCTGAATTTGGGCTGCTTGCCGCACAGTCGTACATGGGTGTACATTGAAGACTTGTGGTTGTAGATCTTGCCGCAAGTCTTGCACGGGAACTCTATGGTCAACGGATCTCGATCACCTGAAAGAAAGATTATAAATGGTGCGTGTGTACATTCTGGAGTAAGTTCCATGATCAAACCCTCACATCAATTTCTCTCATACATTCCGCGACGAAATAAGAATTCATATTACAAATTCGACAATTACAATTCGTAATTTAAGTCTTTCCCGGAAAACAGGCCACATTATTTGATAAATTTATTCAGGATTCCACATGAATTTTATCACAATTAACAGAAAATAATGTTAGCACTTATAATCTCTTATTGCTAGTACGTTTTGCAATTGATGTGAAAATCTTAATAAAAAATATACATAAAAACAAATACAGCACATACGTAAACTTATTTGTGTAAAAATATGTATAATAATTATTATTATTGCAGCTGAAATGTGCACTGCCACAATTGTCACAGCAATTATTACAAATCATAGAAAGATAGTACAAATATAATTTTAACGTAGGAAATATTGTATTTTTATTTTGCTATGTTTTGTAAATGTTTTACAAAATGTTATACAGTGATTTTATCGCATTGATATTTTACTTGTAAGAAAACGCATTTTATAATATTACAATACAAAAGAATCGAAAAGTCGATATGATAAAAAAATAATGTATCGTTACAATGCTTTATATATACAAATATATTTAAAAACTATTTTTTAATCCATTTTTTTATTTTATAGAATTTTTGTTATAAATTTTGCAAGAGATTTAAAATTCGCGGAATGTATGATAAAATCCTCACATTTCTGATTTTTCTCTAATTAATTAACAATTTTGAAAACAATAAAATTTGTTGAGAATTTGATATAAACGATATTGTTCAACAATAACAATGTATATTTTCTTTCAAATGTATAAACTTTATTGGGATAATCATATTGTTATTAAATGATTAACTCTTTGAGTATTGCAAGCATATATACGCAATTAGATTATTTTTCTTCTTAATATTTCCTAATTTATTTGAATAATTAAGGTTTATAAATAAAAAATATCATTTGAGGAAAGTCCTACACTCAGCTATGTACATGTTGGGAAGCCATGCGGTATTTTAAGCTGGGTTGAGAAAGAACTTCGCAGTGCTCTCAGAATCATTGCCATACAGTACTCAAAGAGTTAAAGATCTTTAACTTAAAGTTAAAGATTATTGAAAAGTCAATAAACCAAAAATTGCAGAATTATTTTGTTTAAACGGATTTATAAAAATATCAATAAATAGGAGTTTTAAGAAATTCTCCTTCTTTCTCGATTTTCACGTTTCAATTCACTGTCGTAACGATAATGAGGGGAAAAAACGTAAACTTGGTTTCATTGTTTATTAGAAAATTTTCATTGTATTCATCCGGGAATGATCACATCACGAAATTATTACGAATTCTGAATATCTTTATAAAATGTGTGAAAAAATGAAAAAATAAAAAGATTGTGTCATAGTAATTCTGATTATTAAGACAGAATCTTAAGTGAATTCTAAGTAGATTCTATAAAAATACACAGAAGATGTGATCGTTCCCAAATTAAATTTTGTGTTTCAATAAATCCATCATATATTCTCATATAAAAAAAGACTAACTACATATTGCATGTAGAAGAAAGAATATCAATTAATATATCACAAATATATAAATATATAAATATATAAATCAATATACAAATATATTAATATATAAAATGAATATATAATATACAAATGAAAGAATCAATTGGCTTAATTTATTATTAAATATATTTGTGAATTGTGATGAGGATGGCAGCCGACAGAAAGATTTGGAGACGGGTGGTGCGCTCCCGTGTCGTACAAAATCCGAGACCGCGTTCTTCAGTCATGAAGGTCGGCTTGAGAGAGGGAGAGAAATATTTAATTTATTCTCGGGAACTCATTTAAAATTATTTGAGATATTTGTGAATTGAGTTTTGGTGTTTCATGAGGTGGTGCTTATGTTTGAACTTTCTGCCGCAGATGCTGCAGGTAAAGCGTGGCTCAATACCGCATTCCATACGTTTGTGCAGACTCAAAGATTCTCTCCATTTGTATACCTTGCCGCAATTTTCACACGGGTAGACTATCGAGCGCGGCGACCAACTTTGAAAATCTGAAACATATACGCAACAATTTGGTTTCATTCATGTCGGACTAACGATTGATTTTAACGTTGATGGCGTGCATGCTAGAAAACGTCATTTGAACAAATCAACATTGGCAAGGTTTCAGTCTCGATCCTTTTTGCAGACATTTGCGAAATACCAAATTCGATTTTGTACCGATATATTTGGTACATGCTTTTATTCTTATAAAATACTCCTATGAGATACTTTAAGTCCTACCTGTACCAGTAATAGACAAATACTGATGTATAATCGAAATTTTCATAATGCCGGTATTGTTCATCATGGACTTGAACTGGTCGGAAATAACATTTATATACCGAAATTTTTTTTCGATTTTATATAAATAAGCAAAAACTTAGTAACAAATATATGCTTGTCATAATTTTATTTAAACTCGTATAAACTTGTATGACAGTAAATACAACGGTAGCAAAAATTCGAATATCACATTAATATATCACAAATATTATTCCATATAAAACATTCAATCAATTATGCTATATTTTAATACGTTACGTAATGCGCAAGTCGAGCTTTAGTCAACAATATTATGTGAGACAAGTTCATAATTAACTGAGAAAGAAATAATTCCTCATGTAGAAATTAATCAGAAAATTAGATAAAAATTTACAAGTCTCAATATGAGGAAATTAATCTTATTCTTAAAAAAGAATTAAGAATAAGTTTATATTAATATACTGATAAATGTATATATTTTAGAATAGATACATTTATATACATTAAAAGTATATATTTTAGAATATAAAATATATATTTTATTCTGTGTATATTATATACATATAAATAGAAATATTTATTAAAATAGAAAACTTATAAAGTTTTCTATTTTAATAAATTATATAAGTTTAATAAATTATCTAACTTTATAAATTTTCTATTTTATTTAATTCTTCATTTTATACAAATAAAAAGTAATTCTCTATTTAAATTAATATTTAAATAACATTAAAAAGAAGCAGAAAATATAAAAATATAATACTTAAATTTTAATATTCCAAATTATAATCATAAAACTGATTTCCGAAATATTTGTATTCACTGTTATTTTGAAAACGTGAAAAATAAGACGAATGCATAAGATTGCATAAGAAGAATATAAAAAATATTTTGAGGAATCATTTTCTTTCTAATTATATCGCGGATATCTCACACTCTGTAGTTTTTTTGAAAAAAGGGTCTAAGTAACAGTTAATCGCTCATAAATAATACAAGATAGATGATTTTTCATTAAATGTGACTACTCACAAAATCTATTAATATACGTAAAACATTTGTTATGTAACGCTATATCATTATATTGCTATAGAATATTTGCTATACAAACATCAGCGTGTATTAAGTAGCAGGAAAATGTCTATAAAAATCTATTACTCTAATTTGACAAAATATAATATTTTCAATGGAGATAAAAATTATGGAATTTTAATTAATTTTAGTGATGATACACAATTCATCTTGTTATTATAGCATAATCTGCCGATGATAGTCAATAAACTAGTCTAATTATAGTGCTAAAATATGCACTTTTATATCAATTCGTGATCGTTACAAGTCAATTTAAATTCGTATGTATGTATTAGCATGAATGCATTTAACTGATTTCATTAAACTTTCTCGCGAATTTTCTCATCTATCTCGCACGTCCATAGTTTTTTTTCTGACAAATGTATAATACAACAGATGTTATTATCTCTTGAACGCCTCGTCACATGCAAGCAGTAATTTTATTCTTTGAATGTTATAAATGCATTAAAGAATGTCTTTATTAAGTAGCTTAATTTAAGGCTTTAACAAAATAGCTTTAATAAATAGCCACGTTTATTCTGTTTTTTTTTCTTTTTAAAAACAATCTACATTTTTCTAATATATGACATTATATTACAACAGCGTAATACTGAAAAACTTGATCTCAAAAACCTAAGATACCTCGGCGTTAAAGGGTTAATAAAATTACAATTTAAATATTACAACAATTTAGGTATTTACGTATGAACTATAACATATTTTTGTGTGAACTCTATGTCGCTCGAAATTAATCTTCCTCTTGAACTTTCGATTGCAGTAAATGCATTCATTTTCTGGCTCCAACACATCCTCGTTTTTTATGCAATTCTAAATGTTCCCCCCATAAAAAAATTTTTCCACAGCTAAAGCAAATCGGCGATCGTGAATTGTCAGAACTAGAATCATCTAAAAAATTAACAGCATGATGAATACAACGTGACAATGACTTCTTTGAAATAATTATATTGAGTACAGAGTAAATAATCTCTTCGTGTGATTCTAAATAATCTTATAATATGCGTAATTAGAAAATGTAAGCGTAGTATTGGGAAATATCTTTGCTTAAATTCCTTCGTACATACTCGAGCGAAAAGTTATTTACTCTGTATAACGATTTAACAATCTGATTCAGTGAATCTGATTAAACAACTTTTTCATAAGTTTTCAATTAAAAAATATTCTTAACTTCGCCACCACCATTTCACCCCTCAAGTAATTAATTTGTGGAATAATAATTAAACCTGATACACATACATCCCTCAGTAATACAGAAACACAAATGTAAAGCAAAAAAAAAGGAACCAACATTTTCAACGACGTCGTGGTAAATAGAACTTCACTTTTCACACACAATTTTCCCAGAACACGAAACTCTTCACTCCGGTGTTAAGTTAGTGCACTATTTTAGGATAAACACAATTAAACGACCGAGAAACAATAGAGTATAACGATTTAACAATCTGATGTTTAAACGAAGAAAGAAGAAAAGAATGAAAACATGGTGCCATTTCTTTATTGTTTAATTTTATTTACTGCATTTAGTTTATTCACTCAGTTCATATAATGTCTTATAAGTGTCGCCTCTATCGATGACCGTATCGAACCTTGGCACATGGCACATTGAACACGGGTAAATTTGCGATATTAACGGCATTTCTAAAGAAATTTTCCTTTTCATAGATAATATTTTCAAAGTGGCATATGATATACTTTTAAATATGTGATCCACGTCTGAATCTTTTATCGCATACGAATTGCAGTTCCTTATCCGCATTCATCGCGTTTATGCGCTGTCGGAGAATGTTTCCATTTGTACTTTTCATCACATGAATCACAGATATATTTGTCGCAATAGCTATACTAATATACAAACATCAGCGTGTATTAAGTAGCAACAAAATGTCTATAAAAGTCTATTACTCTAATTTGACAAAATATAATATTTCCAATGGGAATAAAAATATGAAATTTTAATTAATTTTAGTGATAATTGTTCTTGTTACTACAATCTGCCGATGATAACCAATAAATAAAATTCTTAAACACAATTGTTCTTGTTACTATAATCTGCCGATAATAACCAATAAACTAGTCTAATTATAATGCTAAAATATGCACTTTTATATCAATTCGTGATCGATACAAGTCAATTCAAATTCGTATGTATGTATTAGCATGAATGCATTTAACTGATTTCATTAAACTTTCTCGCGAATTTTCTCATCTATCTCGCACGTCTATAATTTTTTTTCTGACAAATGCATGATAACACAAAAGATGTTATCGATGGCCGTACCGAAACTTCGGTTGGCACATCGAATACGGATAAATTTGCGACATTGAATTCTAAAGAAATTTTCCTCTTCATAGATAATATTTTCGAAGTGTCATACGATATTTAGATGTGATTCACGTGTCTGAATCTTTTATCGCATACGAATTGCAGTTCCTTACCGCATTAATCGCGTTTATGCGCTGTCGGAGAATGTTTCCATTTGTACTTTTTATCACATAAATCGCAGATATATTTGTCGCATCGTCGTCACGAGACCTCTTACGTTAGATGTTACCTGAAAAGCAAATACGTCATTAGAATATATTCTCAGTTACTGTAGCCTCGAGATTTGTTTTTTTTTTCTTTAATTTAGTCGCGTGACATTTAAATTCATTAGTTCTTCGAGAAGAAGAAATTATTTGATTATCTATAATAAATTTTACCAGCGTTAAACCAATTGGGTTTTTTTCTATAAGAGCAAATCAGAATTTAGTTTCGCTTAATTCGTCCAGTAAAAAAAAATTCAGCGTGTATTTCACTTATACATACATTTTTATTGCATATTATATCGTTTCTTATATATATTCCGAAAAATGAAATAATAAGTGTATTTTATAAAATGCAAAGAAAATTTATATTTTACACGATCTTCCCAGAGTACTAAACATTTTTATTTCGCGATACATACATTATTTTTAGAATAAATGTAAATAATTATTAAGCCAAATCGAGCCCAAGCAAAGTACTCGCTCTTTCGTGTTCATTGTTTTAGCTAGAAAAAAAGCTACATATTTTTCCATGTAGAATATGCGGTTTACATTTTTTAACTGACAACACAAAAAGAAAAAGGAAAAAATATTATGCAATTGGTTTATCTAATTATGATTCAAGACGACGGCAGGAATTCAGAAAATCCTCGCATTTCGTAACGTAAAGTCCAATCAATTCCAGGTTTGTTTAATGTCACAAGAAAGTTTTTTTACTATTTATTCTGCAGCTAGCGTCCACATTTGAGAATAAATTCTCGGAATGGGGGAAAGTATAACAGTAAAATTAAATAAGAGGATAATTTTCCGTAGTACTCCTCAAATGATTACACAAATGAATACTAGACGTGAGAAAACGGACATCTGATGGGAAAGCATCGCTTAGGTTGCCGCTGAAACTTCTATTGGACAGAAATAAAATTTCATTTGTCATTTTTTTTCATCTTACTTTATTATCCGCATTATGCATTCATTGGTTTGCTCATCCAGTTGTGAACGTAAATCAAGTGTAGCTTGAGCTGACGGCTGCGTCGGAGCTTCGCATTGCACACCGGACACGTGTACTGCGGCTCCTTACCGCAATCCTCGCGTTTGTGCCGCGTCAGAGACGGTTTCCAAGTGTACTCCTTACCGCACGCGTCGCAAATGTATCTGCCGCGGTAACGCTTGTGATAATCCTGAGGCCTGTGGGGTCTGTCGTCGTAACCTGAAAAGAGAGCGCGATATTAGCGTGTGCCCTTGTCCGTTGCAACCTCAGTCAGATTTATGATCTTTCTTAATTTTTCGCTACGCCGCCGTGGCAATTCATCAACGGCGCGCTTTTCTATTTTCTCAAAGGGAATATTTTAGGTTTGTCACCTGGATTTTATCAATTGCAAGTCAAATTAATTGAGCTCCTTCGAAGGCTTTTTCCTAAGGACAATTTTATAGAATCGAAATATACATCAGATTCGCAATTTTTAATCTTTCGGCGGGAAGTTTAGAAGTTCGGGAATTTTAGAAGGAACATAGGAAATTATTATAGTGCAGAGTCGACAATCTTCACGTTTTATAACATGATTTTGTTGTTTACTATTGCATTACGTCCCTCGTATGCAGAAGAAGAAGATAACAGGTATACTCGTATTTTATGTATATACAGTTTTTATTTCGATTATCAGTCTCTCCTCTTTCCTCTCAATTATTTCATATAACTCGTACAAAAAAAAGCGTAAGGTCTTCTAAAGGAATGATTGACTAACAGTGGTTAAAAGACGCATGAATTTTTTACAATGTGATAATTATCTTCCGAACGAGTATGATGTATTCATTAATATCAAGATAATTATCAAAATTGTTATTCTCTTTATAAACATAGGTGTTAGATATTATCACAGAAAGAAATTAATGTAAATACAAATTTATATTAAGTGATAACTAGATGTTACGAAAATGCATATTATGAAAAGATCACACATTCGAGTTCAAAATTAGATTATCTTACTTTCTAAATGAAAGGTGATAATTATATACAATATGTACATTATAAAAATTATACTTATAATGTACACAAATACAAATTAATTAATTATATCAAAGATTATTTTAAACAAAAATTACTCTAGTATTACGGATAAAAAATTTTCATGTATAAACAATACTTGAACGAAATCAAATTCAGATAATAAAATTGTTTCCATTAAATTATGAAAACGACAAAGTTATTTTAAAAAATGCAGATAAAAAATATATTAATACTATATTTTTTGACACTATAAAAGTGTAAATTCAGCAAACTGCTGAAGAAGTTTAAATGCTATCGTTTAGAAAACTTTTCCATTATTCAAATAATGGAAATTCCAAATAATATATGATATGTGACATTGTTTTTGTCATTTTCCTTTACAATTTTTCTGTTAAAAAAATTGCTTGAGAAATGTATTCTTCAAAAAATATTAAATTTATATATATAGATGAACAATATTAATATATAATATAATATAAATGAATAATTAATATTAAAAATAAAGATAATAATATCAACATTCAGAAACAAAAAATGTAAATAAAAAAAAAAGAAAAATATGTGATAAAATTTTATCGGTTACATATATGATTGCGATATTATTATGTGGATTTTCTTGATTGTTGTCGGGCGTTCCAAATCTTGCCATTCGGAATCATTAAATGATGGACGTTGATCATGTGCTTCTTCAGCATCCATTTATGTCTAATTTTTGAACCGCATATCGAACAACTGTACTGCGGACCCTTCCCGCACTCTTCCCGTTCGTGCCTGATCAACGACTGCATCCATTTATATTCTTTCCCACATTTCGAGCAAAAGTGTCTGCCCAGTCTCTTGTAGTAGTCCGACATGCTGTACTGTGCTGAGTCTGGAAAAAATAATAAATTACACGTTAATGCGTTCGAACACCTATTGAACGCAACTGCACATTGATGTGGAATAAAGCATATAATTATCTTGTCGCTTTAGATAACGTATTAATTGCTTTGTATCACTAATTTATTTGTGCGACATAAATATAGTGTAGGACATCGATATGTAAATATTTTAATCGTTTTTTTCTCCTAAATATCACAGATAAATTAAATATTTAAATATTACCATTTTAGTTCCTTTCCTCTACATAATTATTATCTCTTGTTAAACCATTGAGATACCCAGACACCGTAAACAAAAATTAATTACATTTAAAAATCTATTTATTTAAAAGAGTAATTCAAGGGTTTAACTATATTTTTATTTTCATAAGTATATAACAAAAAAATACAACAAACAAAACTCAAATGAGCAAAATTATTTCTATTAAATATAGGAACGACAATGTTATTAAAAAAATTCAGATCAGAAAAATGTATCAATACTATATTTTTTTTTACACTGTAATGCTGAAGAAATTTAAATTCTATCGTTTAGAAAACTGTTCCATTATTTTACACGATTTAACGTGTTATCTTATATAATAATTCATTGCCACGTTGTCTTTTTAATAGCCGTAAACCGATTATTATGAGATAAACGTCTACGACTTACTTAGCGTTAAAAATTATTTTACAATATTGCTTATACCATAGACTTGGTAGAGTTTGTGTTACAATAACATTTGTACCACAGACTCGTTACAGTCTACGTTATAATATTGCTTGTTCTCAGTATGACATACACTTAATCCTTACATTCCGCATTCACTCCGTTATCTTTAAATTATATCGCATCAATCTATGTATCAATCAGTTAAATATTTTTCCCTGTAAAATTTGTGGTTTTTTTCATATATCTCTCTCTCTCTCTCTCTCTCTCTCTCGTATTTCAGCCTTACATTGCAATCCGCGACGTACACAGAATACTTATGCAAATATGACTTTCTCTAGGTAAACTTTCTTATCATGATACATGTGCCTTCTGCGACATTTTATAGAAAATACTAAATTATACAGGTACGAAAAAGCGTGGCTGATATCCTAGACAATTATACATTTAATTCTATACGCCATTGTACGTATCGGCGATAAAAAGCTGTAACTCTATATTCATTGCCTCGCGATTTTCCATTTAAGTATATTCGCGGTTACGAATACTCATATTCATAAAAATTACATGTTAATGTAAATTATCGCTTTTCAAAGCGTTGTTGATCTCTGATATTTTAAACTGAAAAATCTTTCGCACAGCTTATACATATATAGTTCTGATCTTTCGATGAAAAATTCTGTTACTTTCTTATTTTTAAATATATAGATTGTCCAGTTCTATTTTCTTTTAAATAAACAATGTGTATACTATATATATATATATATATATATATATATATATATATACACACAATATATAAACATTGTTTATTTAAAAGAATATATATATATATTGCGTTAATGTATAGACATCAATAAAAAATGTTTTCACAAAGTCAATAGTTCATAAAATGAATTTTCATAAGATTGAACGTTGTTAAAAATGTGTATATTTAATAAGATAAAAATGTTATGAAAAGGATTGCCAAGATATGAACTGATACTACCAGCTTCGTTGAATTATGATAAATTCTAGAAGAGACGCTACCACATTTTCTTACATACAATGATCAGTAAAAATGACTAATGTGAATAATTTATTTTATCAAAATATGCACTTTCTATACGATCATTTAATCATTATAATCTGCACCCTTTTCCAGCAGACCGTTATTCACAGTGTTTTCTTCAAAGACAATATATATAGATAGTCATTCATTGTCAAACTAATTAAACTATACTGTCTTTTCGTTTTGATAACTATTTTGTATATTAAAATAAATGTCCGATGTGAAAGATGATCGTTGAAAAATGTTCTTTCGCAACGCGAATAACGCGATACGCAAATCCTGAAAAGACATACAATATGAAATAATCTTCTTTTTCTACTTCAACGCAGAAATCGATCGTTTTCTTATACATGATCTTATGAGTAATTCGTATTTGTTTATTCGGATAGTCAAACAATATCAATTGTAGGACATGGTGGGCGGTTCACATCGTTCAGGTTCGCAGCAATCGCATTCTTCGAGACATATATAGGCTTGATTATTTTCAGTGACAAATTTCACTCGTAGGGGAGAGAATTTTCCTATTTGTTGTGAACGTTGTTCTCGTGGCGTAACAGATAATCCTTGCGTCGGAATTTCCTGCCGCAAACCGTGCAATTGTACTTCGGCAACACGCCGCATCCTTCGCGCAGATGCCTCGTCAAGGAGTCCGTCCACGTGTAACGCTTGCCACACTGGTGACACGTGAATGGCCGCTCGTAGTTGACGCGGCAATGCTCCCTTTTGAATTCTGAAACAAGTCGCAAAAAAGATAGACAGTGAGATAAATTTCGTCGGAGGTCTCTTTTAATTTTCGCACTTGACTCACATCGCAATAGGTAATACCAATTTACCCGAATCGATCGATTTTGAATAGAACAGATAATTGGCGAAGGCCAACGAAAAACATCAAATCTCAGCTTTTACTTTTTTTCTATATATTATAGCTCTAATTGTAATTTAGATGTAATACGAAAAATTTAATTCACGACACTATCGACAATACTCGTAATTATGTCTAGTAACAAGTTCTGTATGTTGCAATAGTTTATATGCACAATAAATAATTTTTATTATATATACAAATTTTGATAATAAAAAATTCGCAAGTCTTTAAAAGTGTGTGTAGTTGCGTGGAGATACTTCTTAATTTCTGAAGCAATTGCAATTTTAATTTTCATTGACTCGCATCTCTTCAGAAATGATCGATTCGTTATATGTTAACACATGCTAGGACGAATAGTTAGATAAAACGATAAAATAAAATAATCGGAGTTAATTAAATAGAGATTTTTAGTGCAATAGTACAATCACAGATTTTTTAGGATTTTTTGAAACACTTATGTGCGAATATCAGTGAATATTGTTTCGTCTCATTTTTTTTCTAAAAAAATTAGATAAACATTACTACTAGTTTTAAATTATTTATGATACAATTAATGCGTTTCATTTAGTTTACAGCTTTAATTTACATAGCACGTAATAAAGCTTTTCTCGCTAAATTATCGAATTGTTCCTCATTTAGATAAAACTTACATCAATCAAATAATAAATTGGCAATCCATAGTTGGTAGCACATAATTTGCATATCTTCCTAAAGGATTATCTTTAGTCGATATATTTCACTCTGCAAAGAAACTATTGGATTTATTATAATTGAGAATAACTGAACATTAAAATATGTGAATCAAGACGGCATTTCTTTTTCTTATCTCTCGGCGCGATTTCTCCCAAAAAATAGATACAATATATAGATTTAATGGGCAAATAGCGAGAGATTAAGGGTTAGTAATAATAAACTCAGTGAAACCATATTTCTATATTTTTATTTTTTCAATAAAATAAATCAAAATATAATGGCAACAAAATATTTGCTTCTACATGTGTCGGATAAGGACATTATGAATTTTTCTTGTCATAGGTAGGAAAGATATAGTTAAAGTAGATGTGATACAATATTGACGTTATATAGTAAAAGTATGTATAACGTATGTCATTACAATAGTAACATATATTATCTCGATGAGTTCATGAAACAATTTAATTTTTCTTTATAGATATGTATTTTTTCAAATTATGTATATTAGATTATCTACTTTAGAGAAATAACAAATGCAGAAGTAATAACTCGTCGTGCATGAAAGTATGAAAGTGTTCAAAGAATTAAACTAAGCTAACGGAGAAAACGTTACGCGTTTTAACAATTTAAAATACAACAAACAAATGTATTATTACATGATAAATAACACGTTAAAGAAATCAGTGAAAAAGATGTTTGTTCAACATTTGAATACGGTAAAGTGTATATAATTATAAAAATTTTTATCGACAATGACAAATATAATATATGTATCTATTAAAAATTTTCTAAATAAAAAACGATATTAATCATCGTGAGGCATTGAATTAACGAATACAAATTGCTCATTATATTCGTGAAGCTATGCTCGTGCTTTTATTTTCTTTTGTACAAAAGTAACAAGATTACGTGATGTGTATGCAGCGTGAATAGTTCATTAGTATTCATTACAATTAGAAATTATTCACTTTATCATCGGCGACGTCGAGTTCAAGACTATAACGCTATGTCTGAATAAAAATAGTGTAACGATAAGAAAATTAAATGTTCACACACTTGTGCACTATATCGATTATGATGCAGCTATATATTTGAAGATAAAAAGGGCTTGAGAGCTTAACATTCACACAGATAAATTGAAAGGCAAATTTTTACATATTGTTTTTACAATGGCACGGAAAGTTATTATGTTATTATTATCACTATTACTAAGCGGTATATCCTTGTTCTTTGAGTATGAGTATAATTCGTGTTTTCGATACTAATACCGAAAACGTGTTCAATATTCTAAAAAACTTAATCCAGTAATTGCAGAGTAGATGAATAAAATTGTCATCGAAGAAATTTATTTCTGTTACCGAGAAAACACGAGCACGATAAAATAGCTACTCTGCAGTTATTACGCTGTAATCAAGTCTGATAAAAAACAGATAAACTCGTTTTCCGAGAATAAAATTTCTTACAACAATTAACATATCTCGGTGATTTCCGAGAGTAAGGCTGCCTTCGAACATTTTGAATGTTCACAAATTTTGATGCATCTTTGTACGGAAAGAGATGCACTTTTTTTTTTAAATATACACCTCAAAATTGAGTAATTCATCTCACTTAATGTAGTTCTCAAAGTAGCTTTGAATCACGTATTTGCGTGGTCGATTGTTCGAAACGATCTGTGAATCAATCGTTATCGAGATTGAGAGATCACATGTATTTGTGAACCGTCCATACGTGTCGTTGAAAGTTGGATCGTTGATGAAACGCCTTCTTACAGAAAGGGCACAAATTTTGCGGAGTCTTGCCGCATTCCTCCCGCAGATGACGGTTTAAGGTGCTCTTGTTGGTGTAGGATCTCTTGCACTTGGAGCAGGGATACGGTTTGGGAAACGTGAAAGCGTTCCGCGGCAACCGCTCCGTTCTACCTGAAAGCAAAATTCAAATAGTGATTAACGCGCACAACGTACACTCAGCATTCTGCTCGTGATCTTCGCGATGCGTTATTTATGCGCGGATCAGTCGGATCCAATTCATTATCTTATCTTCAGTTGGTCTCATTTAAACTTCAAATTCAAACTCAGATTAAAACGCTTGATAATGCTTGTGACTGATAGGGATTAGTTTTGACTATTTATAGGAAATGACATATTTCAAATGACAAATGGCTGAAATGGCAAACTAAAAAGCGTTTTTACTTAATGACATTTAATAATTGGCTTAAATCGGAAAATATTTGTGTATTGTTTGATGTAAATATTTTCCTAATATTAAAAAACATATTTTAAGCATGTGATATTTTGATTTTATTTGCTTCGATGATGATTATATATTTTCCGAGAATGATCTTCCAAGTTTTCGTAGTCGTCATCTTCAGGTCGTGCTCTCGTTGACAAATCATCTCATTTACAAAACACTAATGATAGGACGTAAAACCTTCGGTTATTCAACTGTGCGTATATTATTTATAATATACATATAATATAATTTCATTATAATTTTTTATTATTGCGTACACACATATAAACTAGCAGTTATAATAAAATTATAATAAACTACAATAAAACACCGTAAACGGGGGGTCACATATAACTAAGGCCTCGATGAATGTTCCGCTTCAAATTACAAGAATTAGTCAACTTATCACAGAATTTTCTCGCAAAATCGAATTTAGCGAATAAAGATCTTCCAGCGATGCGGCTATCGATCTTGAGATCATTAGCTCAGCCCACCATTTGCGATTACAAGTCCCCATTTCGATTATTAGTGTCATGCAATGTAATCCACATGAATTCTCTAGAATATTCTTATATGCTAACGTACCTAATATTTTTTTATATAACAGTTCAATTGTAAGATCCCTCTACCAGTGATGAGATTACAGTGTACTTATTATGCGACCGCAATCAATGAATAAACTAGTGTCTATACATATAAGAACAGTGGCGGACTTATAACTTTGATCAAGGCTAACATTTGTCAGAAGGTGAAAAGATTTTTTATAAATATTTGTATATATAACAATTTTATTGTTATGTAGATATTTATTATAATGTACCAAAATCGACAAAAAAGATTGATTTTTTCCAAAAATAAATACAATAGAAAATAATATAAATTTTATTTTAACATAATTTTTTTATATATTTAATCAAATAATTAATGTAAATTTAAAAAATAAGAAAAAATTGAAATATCTTAGATAAAGAAATGATTGTCAGTACATATTGTGTGTCTTGACGTCGTGAAGCTATGAAGTTCAGGTTTCACTAACTTACCGCCACTGATCCGCTACTGTGTGCAAGAAAGGAAATGCTGATTATAAACTAACTGGATGTAATAGCATAATAGGGCAAAAACTATGAATTTCGCGAAGCGCCGTTCTCGATTTCCACGAAGGCTAAGGGTTAGTTAGTCACTGTCCTATTTTGTTTAAAAGCTCTATGCGAAAAGTGCATGTCGGTTGCAACTGCGTTCTTCCTAAGTCGCACATATTCTTATTATTTATTTCCCAATGTATCATCAATATTTATCTTGCAGACTCATTTCGATCTTGACGAATTATATCGAATTATGTTTTAAGCTCGCGAATTTAGGACGTCTCTTGAGCTGTCGCAACAATTTACAAAAAAAAGAAGAAACTTTTATTAATTCCGCAATCTTGATAAAATAGATTTCAATAATAATACAATTTATCAACAGTCAATCAGAAATTTAATTTTGTCTTCAATATTTAATTTCTCATCAATATTTTTCGATATTTAAGTAAAGCACAAAGAGTGTTTATCTATATATTGGCAATCATAAAATATGGCCAGCAATAATTCAAATCATTATGCTCTTAAAGTCAGTATATGTACTTTTAAAATAGCAATATGCGTATTGCTATTTTTCTTAAGGCTATTCTACAATAGCGTGAACGTAGTCGTGAGCCATAAGAAATTAATCAATCATAGTCGATTATTCTCTTCAAATTCGACTGATTGGTCAGTTTCTTGCAGCTTACGACTACGTTCACACTACTGTAGAACGGCTTTCAAAATTTTACAAAATTATTTAGACTCTAATCAGTTCGCCATTTAACGCAAGATACATCTTCCAGACGATCACATTTTCTTAGTGGACCCTCTCTGTACATTTTTTTGGAGTCCAGGGATGCCAATTCGGAATCTTCGGCAGCCACTGACTGCAAGTGGCTGCCAAAGGTTCCGAACACAGGAAAGAACGAATTTGTTGAAAAGTCTAAAAATTTTGCTAAAAACAGATCTGAAAATAATTTTTTGTTGAATCATCAAAATAATTTGTTGGAATGTTAAAACTGATAAGCATTGCTATAAAAGTTTTGATATTTCTAGCAATCACTTTGACTTTCGCACAAAATTTATTCTGATTATTGAACAAAAAATTATTTTCAGATCTGAATTCAGCAAAATTGTTCTTTCCGTGAAGTGGCATCCCTACATTGGACTCGCAGAAAAATGATCTATAACGTCAAACAGTAGGGACTATTTATCATCAAATAGCAAATCTTCAGGGTTGATCGCTCATCTTTGGAAACGCTGGCCAAAGTTCCAGAGAGACGGGTTTCAAGCTGCTCTTTATCGCGGATGAGGTACGAGGGATTTTAGGAGAGTTGCTGTGAACCGTGAAAACGTGACGCTGAAAGTTGGCTTTCTGCTTAAAACCCTTATCGCAGAGTCGGCAAATGTGTTTCGGAGGCTTGCCGCACTCGTCTTTCAAGTGGCGTTTCAGACTGCCCTTGTTCCTGTAGGACCTACCGCAGTGGCAAGGGAACGGCTTGAACAGCTTGAACGTCACGGTCTCATCTGCAATTTTACAGAACGGAAGTGAATAAATTGTTAGATCTAGTTGTGACAAGGCGAAAATGGAAGAGTAAGCGTGCATGATCTTTAAAAGCATGGACGGATATCTTCGAATTCGAAGCCCACGAAAGAATCAGAGTCACTACGTATGTACGCGTGTACGTGTGAATTAATATGTAAAAAATATCGGTGAGAATATTCCGTTAGTACTGTTAATTCTCCATATACTCGTATTACGACATATGATAGAAAGTTACATTAATAACAAAGAAGATCGACGATTAAAATTAACATAGTCTTCCCAGATGCTTTCCCATGTAGAATATCGCTCTCGCCGACATTCCAGCTAATCTTCAAGTGGAAGCTAATCTTCAAAGGAAGTAAATAGTACAATATCATGAAATGTGTGTTACTATCTCTACTATGCTTTTATTTACGAAATTCTTTCTTCCAGTAGATCTTCAATTTTCAATAAAATAAACCTATGACTTATGTTGAAAACGGAAGCATGACCGAGTCTTAAAAAAAAGTGAAAAATCAGAAATTGGAAATCAGATCATATTGTCGATGATCTTTTCGCGAGAACGTTCGAGATTTATTTTACACGGTAGATGCAGGATAGAGCTGGTTGTGTGGAATATTTTATGAAAACACTTCTTTGAGAAACAAACGCGGACTATCGGCTTTGATATCGTTTCTTCGTCTGCAATTTCCTCTTCGCCTGTAAAGCACATAAAAATTGCGAGTTAGTAAAATGAGCGTAATGAAAGAAATTATTTCATTATTTTTAAAATGAGAAATAGGATGCGTGAGAAATTACATTAGTGCAACTTTTCCACGAGAAATCATCAAAACTTACGATCCTTTTCTCTTCAAAGCGTCGCTTCATAATGCTTGAAAATTACAAAATCTTGAGAATCAGGGACGAATTTCGCGACTTTAGTGTAATTTCAGGAATATAATTTCTTTTCTTTAGAAACTCAAAAACAAAAAGAAAACAAAGAACAACAAATCAACGAATAATTCGTAACGAATGATTCGTACTTACTGTAATAAAAACTGTTGAATATCTTATCGAATATCTTCGCAAGCGATCTTTTAAGTTGATTGATCTACAGGTGACATAAAAAAGGATTAGGCAAAAATATTTGTATTTTTATTTGTATTTTTATAGCTTAAACGGTTCAAAGGTATGTTCACAATAAGAATATGAGAGGCAGTGGAAGCAATTAAAAATTCGATAAGTTCCTAAAAAATAGGACGATAAGAATAATTTATAAAATCCATAACAAATAAAAAAAGGAAAAGGACAATAATTTTCATTCGATTAAATTATTAATGATAATTTAACGTTTCTTCCCGATCGACTGATTTTAACCCTTCGAGTTTCTTTTTCCTTGTACTATTTCGTCCAATAGTTGACGTGCTGCTTCAAGTGTCGCTGACATTTCAAGTGTCGCTGAAAGCTGCTACGTTGCTTAAACAGCTTTCCACAGTATCTGCATCTGAACTGCGGTGGTTTACCACATTCCTCTCGCACATGCCGGTTCAGAGAGATCTTCCAAACGTAGCTCTTACCACAGTGTTGGCAGGCGAACGATTTCTGATACGCCGATCTGTCAGTTATTGTATACTTGACAACTGGAAACGATAAAGAGATTAATGACAATCAAATAAATCGTTTGACTGATTTCAAATCCGAAGGATTTTCGACTTTGTTGTAAGAATAAATTACGTTCAGCATTAACACACACTAATTAGTTGAAACGTTCACCGATCAATGAGTATGCCATCACCTGATAACTAAATGAGATTTATTTATTAATTAGATAACACAATGTTGAGATTCCCTCAACTAAAACTATGAAATGCTGAGAGAAAGGAACACTCGTAAACAAAATTCTTTGCAAACGTATACGTATTCGCTAAGCAAGCAATGAATATTTATTCTTTATCGTATAGATCTAAACCTAAAATATTATTTAAAATAGGATTAAAATGACTATACACTCATATACACTACTATTAACAAAAATTTTGCAAATATAAAAGTCTTTAACATTTTACAATTAATTAATATAATTATAATAGATATTAATTATTAATTTTGCAAGATATTTCCATAGAAACGCGAAATAAATAAATACCTATGTAATAAAGAAATAAAATAATTATTTCTACATATTCGTAATTTAAACGTGTATTCGCGTTATTTCAACTCTTTTATTCAGTGATTTTTACCTGTTTTTTAATAATATAGAATTTTACTGATAATAACCTATTAATAACATATACACATTAAAATCGGAAAGGGGGTTGAATAGACATATTAACGGTAATACAAAAACAAACGATTGTAAAGCTATGAAATCCATCACCGCAATGAATCATGTAAATTTCAACAAGAGGCGCTATTGCTATCTTCTTAACATATATCTTAAACCATCGGACTAACACGCATCTTTTTAATCGTGCATTCTCCTTAGTTGTGCATATAAGTTAGAAAATTGTATTTCGACGCCATACCATATCACTAGATTTTTAGCTATAAGATCGCAATATTTAATAGCATGCAGTTCAGTAAATTTTATATTTAAACATGAAGGAGAACATAAGACAAAGTATTTATTTAATTGCAAGTCTTAATTTAAATATTATACATACAATCAGTCATATATGTATATGATTCATCAGAATATAATGAGCAATATAGCTTTTAATTTTGAATTTTTGTCTATAAAAGACCCATGCAATTTTAATCGCATCGTAATTGTTGCGTAGACCTCAGGCAGATTTGTCGATGTAAATTCATCCTGCACCAAGCTGCTTTTCTGGCATGCATCACCTGAAAAAGAGGTAATCGATCGATTAGATCGGTTACTTCGCGCATTTTTTGTCCCAATTATCAAAGACTTACGTGTGGCATGACGAGAAAGAGCGGCACCCTAGTGGTCATTATCGCACGTAGACGTGTCACTCTGTATGATTGCGATATTTAATTTCGATCTTTGCAGAAATCATATAAATCAACAGTGTATAGAAAAAAAACTAAAGTTTAAGTTAAAAGTTAAGTTTATATAAGAAACAAACATATAAAAATAAAGGAAGAAATATACGTATGCTGTATAACGACGTTATAAATATTGTTAATTGTCCTAATGCCGTTAAATCTGAAAATTAAAAAAGTGGATTATAGTTCAGTCAAGTTTTAAGACTATCACGTCACAATTGATATTTCATTTGACAAACGTCAAACGAAACATACAGAATAGTTTACCGAAATCGAGGAAACAAATTTGCAACAGAGATATGAAGGGAGATGCAAATAAAAGCATGTAGTAGAAAGATATAATAGAAATTTGTGTTATATTAAACAAGAAATAAAATAATGAATATATTATTGTTTCACTTTTTATATTTGTATTTTATATTCGTACACAGACGTATTACTACTACAGATATTTTTATCACTACAATGAAAAGAAATGTATTTGAACAAGATCTATGCTTGCATTCGTAACAAATTTGTAATCGAATATACTTTGTCACCTTTTTTAATACAACAGACACTATGAATACATCATGATAAGTTAAGTAACAAAAAAATTTTGCATTTTATGTCAATTTATAACATTTAACACTCAAAAATATATAATTCAATTAATTTTAATTATTGCAATTTTACTACGTTATTTTTAAATCTTACGCTATATTAAATTTTGATTTGTGAAACTATAATTTTAATTTTGTCAAGAAAGTCATATATATATATATATATATATATATATATATATTAATCTATTATTCTGTTTTACAATCCAATGACTTCTTCTCTCTCTCTCTCTCTCTCTCTCTCTCTCTCTCTCTCTCTCTCTCTCTCTCTCTCTCTCTCTAATTTTTCTAAAAGTCATTTAAAATATATGTATAAGTACAATTTAATTTTTTTGTTTCAAAAATCGCTTATAAATGTTAAATCTTTTTCCAAAACATATTTAAATCAAACATAACAGACAATATATATATTTGTACATGTTATTATGTATGTACACATCGAATGCCTAGCATAATGCCCTTTTTTCAACTTAAAATTCAAAATAACTTAATAATTATTTATAAATAAAAAAAATCGCTTTAGGAAATCTTATGATATTCATATTAACAGATATGTGATAGTAATTCAGTTATTACAGACTTCATAATAATCAATAAACATGCTATCTCGTCAAATACTCAGGATATTGACAGTATCATGACAAAAAAAATATCGTATATCAATTTTGAGGCAGTATATCGTGATGTGCAATTTATACGAATGGTACAATATTACATATAAGTATATTATTTTACCATTCATAAAATTTACGAGCTTATCCTAAAAATTCAGTATAAGTAAAAGTGAAAAAATAGCTGAAATCATAGTATCAACGAATAATTGACTTATAATATTCTTTGGCCGAGATTATTAAATTTCTACACTTTCTTAAGGAATGTACATATATCTAAGATTAATAATTTTTATATTTTACAACAATGCTTAATAATTCAAGCATTGTTGTTTGTAGTTGTCTTCGAGCAGAAGACTTATTGTTTATTTTCACATATTCATCTATTTTTGAATGAATTAAATAGTTATGCTTATATAATAATCGTTTCTCATTTTTATATCTATGTAATAATATTTCGATCTACTATATAGATATATGAAAACATGTAATATATATTTTAATAACTAATGGCTTAACATAAAAAAAAATGAAAAACGTGATACAAATGTAAAAATCTGAACAATGAAATCTTTAAACAAAATTTATATTAATAGATTTTGCTTTAAGATCTAAAATAATTTGGATTTAAAAAGAATGATACGTTCATGATTTATAATTTATATGAAAATTAAAGAAAGAAAATGTAACATGTATTATTAGTGCTGACTTTAAATTTTGTAAAGTTATTTAAAATGAAGATACGAGTATATTTAAATGCTCTTTATTCATTCGTAATGTACGAAAAAATCTGTCACAACAATTAATTCTTCAAACATTGCTGTTGTTTTTTTTTTTACTACAGTTAAGGTACAATTGAAATTAAGATTTTTTTAAATATAGGGCTTATATAAAACTGGACCCATATTTTTCATATTTCCGCAGTCTTCCAAATGTTACTTACATCCCTACTATAACCTCATGCCGTTTGCGTCCACGTCTGGGATTTGTGTGAGTTTTCTCATGGCGAGTCCAATTCGATCGTATTTTCGTCTTGTAATGGCAATAGAAGCACTTGTACTGCGGCAACTTGCCGCATTCGTCCCTTTTATGGCAATGTAAGGACGTCTTCCACTTGTACCTTCTGCCACAGCGGTTGCAACTGAAGGGCTTGGTTATATCTTGATCATCGTGGCGACGATGGCGACGATGGCAGCGGCCTACAATCAAATAAATCCGTGCGCGTGAGAATAACCATTGGAATTTATTATTTAAAGATTTTACTCCTAAAATCGATCTCTCGATTTTAGGAGGTGGAAAGCTGCTGCACTACTAAAGAATTGTATGAAATAAAGTGTAAATTCAAATCGATGAAATCACACCTGATTTATTTGAAACATGTATAAATAGCTCCCACGTCGCTGCAAAATAAAAATAGATTTAAAAGAAAAAATCCAAGATGATTATCAGATATTCGATATTTTTCTAATCGAATATTATCGTTAAGCTAGAATCTTGTAATCCTGCGAAGTTCAATAACTTTTCGAGAAACATTTCAAAGTATTGTAAGAAGAAATCTGTTTTTCGCTAAGTTTTTCGTTTAAGGTACAACAAATATTGTTTTATTATTTGTATTGATTTTATTTGTCCGTTGCATCAGTATTGAGAAATGCCCGTTTGTCGTAAAATGTTGCTTGCAAATTTCCCTTTCGGCATCCCAAGATCAGAAAATGCCTCATATCTGAAAACTAAGGCAATTTCACATGCACAAATATGCGTATTAAAATAATAAATTTCATGCAATCGAGGAAAAATATATTATGCGATTCTCACATCGAGCAAAAAAAAAGGTAATACTATTTTCTCATGCGTGTCCCCTTCGATAAAGATTTCATTTTATATTCAGATAGATTCAATGTGAAGCGCAACAAGAGAGATATGAGATAAGTCTACGCGTTGGAATTAATTCGAGATGCAGACGATATGCGAATATTCAATATTTGACGTGAATTTAATAAGATATAAAATATTTCACAGGACAATTACAACGGTAACGGCTCGCGACCTTAGAGTCGCGTCTTTGTTTACGCAAGGTCGACGCTCTATTATTCGTAGGACGCTCGGGCAGACAGGTATATTGGCGCGTGCTGCTCCGTGTATCTTCGCGTTATCTTTCGAAGGGCGATAGCGATAAGGCGTCAAGCGTTATGTTCTGTGAACAATTGTCCACTTTTACGACTAACGCCTTGAAAGCGTATCGACGCGACGGCTACTTACAGACATTTCCCCTTTCGGGAATCGAGCCGATAAAAGATAGGAATTGTAAATTATTTCGTAGTGATGTTTATTACTTCGATGAATAATTATCTCGTTAATTGTTTCTCGAATCCGAATATGTATCGCGTCGATATAACATATGAAACCGAAACGATTCAAGTAACGAAAGACCACGACACATGTAACTGTTTATTAATAATTAATTGCAATCGCGTGACGCGATGAATACTTTCGATATTTATTTGACGGTTAAATCTTTCGTTAAATTCTTGCGAGTAGATTGACGGAGCTCTTTTTTTTGGAATATACCGATA